GCGGCGCGTCGCTCGCGCGGAAGAAGAGTTGCGGAATTTTGTCAAAAGGATCTCGCTGCCGCAAAAAGGCTTCGCAGATTAAGTCTTTCAATCTAAAGGAAATACCGAAACGCATGTTTTATAATTTGGTCTTGCCAGCAGTCCTTCTGGATGGAGGGAAAATTAAAGTAGATGATGAGAAAATTAGAGACTGAGCTTCATATTCGCTGAAAAAAAAATTAAAACATAAAATGTTCTAACTTTCGAAAATTAACATTTCTGTAAAATGTGAGAAAATAAAAAATGAAATTTAGAAACTAATTTATTTTAAACTTGTAAGTAAAGTCACATTTTTGTTGCTAAAAAAATATATGAGCAGAATTAATTTTTAAATTCCTTCCAGTGCTTGAAATATCTTTCCCTAATACACGCAAGGGCTTGGTTTTGTTATCAGCGCCAGCTTAATTTATTGTTTAGCACCGAGGGAGGCGCGATTTGTTGGCCCCAAGATGCAAATCAGCCTGCGGGGGCGAGTGAAAGATGGACAGCGATAAAAGTTGGCTCGGCGCATTAGCTGCCGGCGGGGAATTATCGCGCCTTTTTAAGCAGTCAGGGGTAATTGAGCTGAAGCGAATTCAGCCGATTAGTTTTTGCTGAAGGTACGCAAAAAGCAACTCGAAAAATGGCACATTCTGAGAAGAATTTTATCGCAACAAAAAAGTTTTTCCTTTTTCCAATTGCAGTTTGATATTCGATTAGAGTCTGGTGCTGAAAATAATGCGGTCGAGAATGTTTGTGACGGAGCAGCGATGCAGCGAAATTAAAAAAGATAGGGAGCGGCGGTCTTTTGCAGCGTTGACCCAATTTCATGGCAAAAAAATGCGCTGCACTTGTGTTTGCTCCGCGAGAAGGAAAAGAAAGGAGATAAGAAAGTAGTAAAAAGAGAGGGAGGATGGACGATGAAATCAAAGTTGGGACAGCTGCTGCTGTTGGGCTTGAGTTGATTTTGCTCCAGTTACAGACATAGAAACTCGATTAGCTGCAAATTGCGTTCTCCGTTTACTTTGAAACGAGCGCCTCAAGAAAGATAAGTTTCAAGCTTTTTTAGAAAGAAAATTTGAATTTTGTTTCAAACAAATAAAGTAATGAATGATGGTTTTTATTATATGAAGTTCATTTATTTAAAATCTGTGTACTTCTTGTAATTGAAAGAATGAAATTAAGGGAGGAATAATTTATTGATAAAGTGGAATTATGATATAATTAATTTTAGATTAATCATCAAAATCTTTGGATATCTGCAGACAAACAGAAGCAATTCAAATTTTTATCTTTTACTTTTTTATTGTCGTTTTTTATTATTTGTCCACATTGTTATAAACACATTTTTAACATTCAATTGTTGAAAACAATGTAAATTAAAAAAAGCAATTGTTGGTCAAAACGGCAACACCACTATATAGCAAGAATTTTACTAAAACTTCCGAGATCAAACACAAGATTACAACAAACTATTTAAACTTTATTATTTTTATTTTAGAATGATTCAATTTTTTCAATTGAATATAACAATGTGATGTAAGAATTAAGTGTTAACTTTTTTATGTCTTTAATTTTTATCGAAAAGCATTTCATAACCAAAAGTTATAAATTCCTTTCAATATTCCATTCCTAACTTATATGTTTGCAGATACATTTGAAATAATTATGGTTTTGAATAAATAACATAATTTTTTATAAAAATTTCAAATATTGCAAAATTAATTAAAATTGGTCAGTATTCCAACTTTAATAAAAGCTAGGATTTTTACAAGTTCCAAGCTAACTTTTATTACTCAAAGCAGGTAGCTCTCCACACTTGAAGGGCAAAGAAGTGCGTAGGTGTGAAAAAGCTGCCGCGCATTAATTCATCAAGGTAGCGCGGCGCTTAATTAAAAACGAGCCGTGCCGCTGCTTCTTAACAAGCAAGGCTGATTTTTTTCGCACCCTCTCCGATCGGAGCTCATTTTTTCTCTCGCCCCTCTGCAATGGAAGCTAATCAGACACGTTTGTGTTTCTTGGTGCGAAAATAAAGCAGCCTGATGTATTTATGCGAGGGGGTGATTACGAATTCCGGGCGTGCCATTATTTCCGGCAGCACGTCTCTGCAGATATGACTGCTGCACCCACCCACCCACCCACCCACACCGGAGCGGTGCAAAACATTGCTCATTAGCGGCTGAATTAGTATTTGCGGGTGCTCACTCGACGTATGTACTCGTAACAAACACACGTGGTGCACAACACATGAAAGGAGTGCTGTGACGAATAATAAAACGGCCGCATTTAGAATTTTAAGTGCTTTGTTTTTTGACATCAAATATGATAATAATGGTGAGCCAAAAGGGACCGCAAGAACTGCGCGGTAACCTCAAATAATGTTATTACTCTAATTTCACTTGTTAATTATGATCATAATTAATTAAAAACTTTATAACTCTGTTTCAATTATTTTAAATATAGATTAATTTTAATTAAAAAAATAGCTCCTTTGCGATTTTAATTTTGTTCCTCACCAACAAGCATTGAAAAAAGTTTTTAATTATCAACATTAATTGAAGGTAAAACAAATACAGTAAAATTAAATTTTCATTATTTCTAGATTTGAAATTCGTCCGTTGTTTTTCTGGATTATGTTCAGGTCTTTCCTCTGCAATTTTGGTGGAAAAGGGTGACGTCAGAGCAGGTCTGGTGCGTGACACGTGAATTGCCGGCACTAAAGACATTCTCATTAATTCTCTTTGTCAAAGCCGGGCTGGCTAGATTAGAGTTTAAGACGGCTGAAGGATGTGCCTCTCTGTAGTATTTCATTTAAAAAGATAAGCGCCCGCTGCCAATTTGCCGCTCCGTCATCAGTGGCGCGAAAAACTCACCGACGCTTTAATTATTTTATCTTGACTTACACAATTACCTTCTCTGCTCGGTTCCTTTCCTTTTATTAAGGAAACATGCCGCGAATACGCAACGACTGCTAATTAATTTCGAATGCACGCCAATTAAAGCAGTGGCGCCATCGGCACCGCGCGCGATAACCACCCCTTTCCTCTTTGCCGCCGCGGGGGAAGCGCGACTTCAAAGGGTTGAAGAATTGGCGCTTTCGACGAGAAAGAGAGTGCGAGAGAAGAAGAAGAAGGTGCTCGAGAAAAACGTGCGTGCACTCAAAATCTGTAAATGCCTCAACTTTTGATCTGCACCGCTCGTTTTTGCGAAACTCGGCTGTTTTTCAGCCAGAGGACGGATGGCAAAGTGGGCTTTTTGTGTTGAAGAACTGCTGACGCGCGAGGAGACCCTCCTGCAGCACAAATCCCACCAGCGAAATACACCTTTTTGTGTTTTCTAAAACACTTTTACAGTGTACATAAATTTATAAATTTGATAAATTTTTTCGGGAATCTCGCAGAACCTAAGCATGCATTACTTTGCACAAAGAAATTTAATGCACATATATTTTAGGATATTTGTGCTTTTCCAGTAAAAGATCAGCGTTGAGTAAGAAGTGTGGAAAAAGATTTTAGTTTAAATTGAACATCAAACCTCAAAAAAATTATAATATAAGTTACTCGGCAGTTTATGTGACATCATTAAAAATCATCAATTACAAGTAAATATTTTTTTAGAACTGGTTGTGTCTTAGTTTTATATAGTTAAAATATAAATTTCTACCTATTAAACATTGAAGCTAAAAAATTTTTTTTTTCAAATTCATTTCATATGATGGAATTTTGAATTTTTATGCATTTTTCTGCTAGGGGAAGTTTAATTTGAATATTCACTTCTGTCTTCATATTAATCTTGGTTGAAAAGAAATCATTCTGGCGCGTCTTCACATTATTTTAAGTTTATTATGTTTTGAGCTTCATGAAACTTCAAAAGATTTGAGTAAAAATGAAGCAAAATACGAAATATAATAAAGTCAACTTTTCGCTTTTCCTAATTCACGCTGTATAATTAACTGACGTTCCCACGCAAAAAGTCAAAAGTCGTCAGGCCGCAGTGCATCATTTCAAATTAGAGGCTCTCCTTGGAAAATTCTCTCCCCTGCGCCTCCCACGCCGCCGCACACTTCGTTACGAATTTTCCTCTCGAGGGGACCCGTAATGGCAACTTTGGTGTTAATTTAAATAGCGGCAAATTTGATACGACACGCTTTGTGTGCTCGAGCGAATCCCCCGAGCGTTCCGTTGGTTCCCGTGTGACAACTCCGCGCATCTCATCACACACACCATTCTCTCATTATATTTTAGCGCGACGTTAACGACGCACACTGTTTACTGCTCATGTATCGTAAACGTGTGTCGTCTACGAGGTAATGCGCCTAATGAGCACAGATTCGAGACTAACCAAGCAAGAGAAAGCGGATTTTAAAAGATCAATATTTAACTAAGAATGTGGTTACAAAATTTAAACGAAAACTCCTTTTTAACAGACAACTTCAAATTCTAAATTTTTCAAATTTATAAATTTTAATTCCAAATTAAGATGGAAGTTTTGATTTAAATTTTATTTGTTAAGTTGCTGAAAACATCACATAATTTTTCTTTCAGTTTGATTAGCTATTAATTTATTTTCCAGTGGCAACCTTGATATTCGTGTTTAACTTTATGGAAGTAAAAAGTTTGTTTATAAAATCAGTTTTTTTATGTTGTCATTTTTATAGTTTTACAGCATCAACAGCAGGCATCTATAAAATTGTAAAATTGACCTGCTTTTTCCTATAGATTGAAGCGACTCGTTTAATTCCAGCCGCAATACGCGAGGGTGGCGTTGAAATTTATCGCTCTTGTAAATTTAATGGAATCGCGCGCGCCAATGACTTTTGAACTCGCGGCCACCGCAGGCGGCTCACTTTACGGCGAGCCATTTTTGCGCGATCTCTCTTTGGAGAGCAAACCGTTCTCGGTGTACGTTTTAGTAGTAGTTGTAGTGGAATTTATTGCACGACCGCCGAGACTAATTCTTGCCCGTTTTTTCTTCTGTTGCAGGGAGTGCCGAGTTGAGTGCTGGTAAGTGACAAACTCTGCTGCCGTGCGAAAGCCTTTAAAACACGTCACGAGCCGCTGCTTAAAACTTGCGGCGGCTCTCGCTAAAAAGCAACAGCTTTTTCGTCCCGATGGATTTGCCGCCATAATCTCTCTCTCTTTCCAAATGCTGCTCTGCCAACACACGTGTTGCAATTTCGCCATTACGCCCCGCTTTGGCGCCAAAAAGCCCTTTATCTTTGGTTCACTTTGAAATCCACTTTTTCGACTTCTCAAATCTCTCCCCATTTTTTTGTCAGTCTCATCCTCATTTTTCCTGCTTTATTTATTTTCACCAATTTTACTAACTGGCCAACAATCTCATTCTTTTGAAACTATTTGACAACTGTAATAAAAATATTGATTTTGGTTTCAAAATGCAATTTAGTTTTCAGAATATATATTTTTAAATCTAATTTTGAAAATCCGAAACTTGACAAGTTATCAAGCCTAGTTTAGGGATAAAAATCCCATAACTTGAAAATGATTATGGTTTAAAGGAAGCGAGTAAAACTTCATTGGAATAATTACAAATAAGACAAAAAATTTAGTTAGATCTAAAAAAAACTTCAGCGTTGAAATAAATGGAAATTCTTTGATGAAACTTCAAGATTTTTTCAACTGAGCTTTCAACATTCTTCTCGAATGACAAAACTTGGAAAAGGTTATCTCTAGTATTTTCCTCAAGAAAATTCGTCCCAACGCCTACATCATGGTGCACTAATCGGCCAATCTGTTGCAAAGATTCTTTTAGTCCCTCCACTCAGACTGGATTAGCTCGAGAAGAGGCTCAGCGTGTGCTCTTTAGAGCTATTTTCCGGCCGGAGTGCGTGTTATTTTTGTCAGGCTTTAATGATGTTGTTTGCTGCTCAAACTTTTCTCTACCCCATTATTTGCTAAAAGCCCAACTCGTTAGTGCAAAAAAAAATCAAGTCAAATTTTCTCGTCCAAAAAAAGGATTCAATACAAATCCAAACCAGCTTTTTCACTTTTGTAATGATCTGACGCAGTCTGTCTGATTATACGGCCCGCGTTACATATTCTCGCGTGATGATGAGATGAATGAATTAAGCAATTAGCGCCTGCGACATCAGTTCGTCGCTAATCCAAGCACTAATCGTGAGACATAAATATACTCGCCAGAAAAGCGAGAAGTGCATATTTTAATGTATTAACGTCAATTTCTTCAATGGCCTTAATCCCGATTTGAATCTTGATTTGTGATAAACAATATTTTTACGTTTTTACAAATTTTTCCTCACCTAAAATAACCCTGTGCAAATAAATATTAATTATTGTTTATAAATCTTATATTGTAAATGATTGCCCAGCCTACATAAATATTATACTAGATAAAATATTTATTAAAAAATTTGTTCATCGTTAAAAATTAACCTGCTATTGACCTATTTATCAATTTGACCATTTCAGATAAGAGAAATCTGGATTTCATCTTGTTGTTCCATTTATTGTGGATATTTACAAATTATAATAATTTAATAGGACATTAAATAAAATGATATTTAATATTAATATTTATTTTTTATTAAAACATTTAGAAATATATTAAGCATAGTAAAAAGTATTTATGTAAAGAATCACCTCATATCCACATTTTGAAACAAATCATCCACTGAAAATATTAAACATTACATTTCCTTCTGTTATGTAATAATATGAATTATAATGAATAATCTTCAAACGCTTCCGTCGAACAAGTCTCGTTCACAAGCTCTTGAACGCTGGAGATTAATCAGACGACAGGGCGAAATAATAAATAATCCTGCATGAAATTACACTCAGGATGCAATAAATATTTTCCAACTCGGACAAATTAATATTTTGAACTTTGGTCATTAATCTCGTCGAATTTGCAAGATTAGACTTTGCGCAAAATTGTACGTGTATTCACGAATTCACAAGCGCAGACGTTGCTGCCATAAATAACCGTGTGAAAATGGCCATTTCTCACTGTCGCGAGATGGATCCGCTCAAAGACGCGATGAAAGAGCCTCCCTTGGCTGCTGCATAACCGTAATATGTTGTGTGTCTGTATGTAAGGCACCTCATTACTCGTCGCGAGCGCAACATCTGGCACCAAAACCACTTGATAGGCGTAGCTGCACCCAGCCGTGAGTAATTAAGCCCGACTTGAAACTCGAAAGCTCTGAACGGCCCATAGAAAACTCATTGTCAGCTGAAAAATGGCTCTGCAAGTTTAGAAATTACTTTTCAATTTGCAACATACCCAATGGAAAGTAAAATTCAAGGGTAATCTTAAAAAATAAAAGGACAAGCTGATTCTTAAAATCCAAAATCTGATTATGCATCTGTTATTTACAAACAAAAGTTATAAAAAAGCTATCATTATTTTAATTAAATTGTTTACAATTTAAAATCAATTTGAAATCAAAATACTAAATCTGCTATAATTATTAATTTGATATTTAAATAATTATTTAATTTGAGTAGGGAAGAAGAACAAAGAAATTCAATGACTTTTTAAAGAGTGAGAGAAATCTGAGATTGCCTCTAGAAGATGAAAAATCTGCAGTTGATAATTGAAATTAATTTAAATTGAAATTGAAGAGAGTTCTTAATGTTTTAGATTATCCGTAAGACAAACAGTTTCCAAGAAAAGGGATGAAAATTTGGCTACTAACTTGGCCATCCCTTTAAAGAAATTTCTGCTAATTTCTGTAATTCATTTGGCAAAATTTTGGGAAAGAAAATTAAATTGAAATCCTTCAGGGAAAGCAAACTAAGAGCAATTATACACGCTTGAAACCTATTAAGTGGAAGGGTTATTTTGATAAATCAAGGCGACGTCTGCGTTCGTCTGCGCCTACAGCACTTCTACGCCAAACACACTCATACTAAACCCATTACGCATTCAAAGTTTCGTTTAGGGGAAAAAAGCGGCAGCAAATTCTTGGGAGGCAGCCGAGCTGAAAACAAATTAGGCGGAATCAAGAGAAACAAATATGCTGGCGGAATGGGAGAGAGAACGGCTGGGATCGGCGCATGATATTTCCAAATTCAAATTAAATTCCTCGGCAAACAAGCCTGCGAACTTTTTGACACTGATGCTCAGCGGCAGCCATAACTTTCGGCCGAGACCCCGACGCGGGCAAAGTGATATCAGGGGCTTACAAAGAGAATGGAGCGCGTGATGTTTGCACAGTTAGTGTCTGTTTTGCTTGCATGAAATCCACCAGATTGCAAATGAGAAATATAATTTAGTGAAGTATCACATAGAACGTACGCAAAATGAGGCAACTAATCTACTAAATTGAAAGTGATATATTAAAATTTTATAAAAATTCTTTTAATTTTACCAACCTTTCTAGTGCTCAAAAATCAATTCTAATGGGCAAATGGGCAAAAGGTAAAAAGGGTCACATGGGCAAAAGGTCATGAGCAAAACATATGAATGGTGGTAATATTTGAAGTCCGCGCAAGCGCAATTGAGAAAATTAAAGAATTTTATTTTTATGAATAAAATTATGTATGAAAATTTATTTTAAATATTGATTTTTTTAATAATACCAGGAAAATTTATAAAAAAATCGAACTATTGATCTTGTATTGATTGCTTGATTTTTTCCAGATTTTTTTTTTTAATGATTAGAAATATTAGGGGAAAATAAGAAAAATTTAAGTATTTATTATTTTATTATATTAAAATCAATAAAATGCATGACCTAAAATTTATGACATATTTTCATTGGCTTCACGTTTTGCGAGTCTCAACAATCAGAGCATATTTTGATTGTTGCCGAGCGATCTTACTCGTCGATTAGAGAGTCCATATTAAATTTTTGATTGTTGACCTTCTGTTTATAACCCGTTATTTTTCGCCCTTTTGTTAGGCTGGCCTAGTGCGTTGAGAGTAATCTGCTAGGATCAGCTCTCGAGCAGCTTAACCAGCTGAATAGAGAGCCCCAAAGCAGCGGGTTCAAATCCCCACAAGGCCGGCCTTTTTAACACATTTTTTAGGACCATTTCAATTGTAATTCATGTTTCTTATTAAAAAAATCTTACATATTTCAATGAAAAAATCAAAATGAATTATATAAAATAAAACATTTTGAGCTCGCTTTTGGAAGACTCGATCTTCAAGGGAACGTCTCTTCAGGCACGTTTTTGTTTTTAAATTCGATTAATTTATTGTTAAAATTTGCATCATATTTTTTCAACGTGGCTGCAGAAATTTTTATTTGGAAGAAATAAAATTGTTAGGAGGGGAAACATTATTATTTGACAAATTAATGCAATAGTGGGATTCACAGAAGTATTCAACTGAAACAAAACCTTCCATGCTTCCCAACGTCTTTCTCGGCTCAGGGGCTTCCAAATCGCAAAATCCTGGGCATTTTCGGCATCCTTGTGAAACGAGCTTTCCGCCGACGAGCCGTTCGTCGCCCCAACGGTCGCGGTTATTTCAAAGTTTGGAGATCAGCTCAAGAATTTTTTCAAATTAATACCGTTTTGAATCGCGAATTTCTCCCAGAATTCAAAATTGACACGCAAGTACATGAACACCGTCGGAAAGCTATAAAATTAAAAAAGTAAGCAAATCTTAAAAATATCTTTATAAACTTAATAAAAATGACAAAACTCAGTAAAAAAGGAAAATAGAATTTCAAAAGAAAATTAAAAATGTAAGAAATTCTTTCAAACTTTTTCATTAAGGGAATAAAAATGAATAAAAACTATTAGAAAAAAAATCACTCAGAATGTTAATTTAAGAAAAGAAATTTGTTCATAAATGTCCTTTAGCCCATGCGTGACGTCAGACCTGCGACGTCAGACCGGAAGTAAAAAAGTGGTTGAATTGGCATTTCTTCCCTACTCTTCTTTCCATTATTATTGCGTCCATTTAAATATTTATGCAACCGTTTAAACAACAAAGTTCTGCGTGTTGCAGATCCTTTCAAATTCCAGGCGCTCTCCAATGCTCAATTTTTTTTATTTTAATGCAATAATAAACTTACTTTAAAATTCAAATTGCGATTGTTTATTACGAAAAACATGCCCGCAATCGTGTCGGATCGTTGAATCAGTCAGCGAAAATGTCAACAAGTTTTGAGTGAGAATATTATCAATGGAAACACCGCAATTAATTAAAATCAAACTGGGCAGCAATTCATTTATTAGCGCAGAGTGGCCGACTGCATACGATTCTTTTTCACGAGTTTAGCTCGATTCGCAGCCATCCATTACATTTCGCCGGGCGAGAATTAATTAGCGACACTGAGAGTCCGCGCGCGATGATGAATGTGCGCGATTTCGTGAGCCGCTTTGGCCGATCGAGCGGCCAATTAATAATTGCGAGCGCGCACGTGACACAAATAAAAGTTCTCAGCTGCGAAAAATTGTCGACGGCGGCTCTCGACCCGTAATCCGATTTGGCTGATGAGGGTGGACGTTTTAATTGACATTTTAATGAGTTCCGTGTCATACACGATTATACCCCTCGTGCATCTGCACATGCTCTGATTGCACTGCAATCCATATCAGTCGCGCAAAAAGCACAGCCGATGGATAATTAATCGCACTGACACGCCAAATCACTTTTGTAACTTACACGGAGATGGAAAATTAATCGTCATTATTGATTTGAAAAAAAAAGAACCTGAGAGTAGAAAATGCAAAGAAATTGTAGAAAAAAGTAAAAAAAATATTATTCCATGAAAATAAAAACATAAAAAAACGGTGGATAAAAATGAGATTTTAAAATAAATTAAATTTCCTGCATTTTATCAGAGAAAGTCCGTTTTTGAAGTTTTCATATAAATTCTAATTAGATTTTTTTTAGTCTTTTTAATTAATTTCTGGAACGACATTTATTTTGTTTTTTTAGAACGTTTTCTTCCGGACGAATTCCGGCGACCCAACAAAATTCAAAACAGGAAATAAAATCAAAGAGATCCAAAGCGTTATCAGTGTTGATTTTGCAACGTTTGTTTGAAATCAGAAAACGCCTTTTAATTAATTTAAAAAAGAGAGTATTATTCAATAAAGTAACTTTACAAATATAAAAAAAAAAAACAAAAAGCAGCATTGCTTTAAAAAACAGATTGCCTTACGTTCATTATTTACACTATTATCGTCGATCGAAAGCGAACTGGAAAAGCACCGAGGCTTGCAGAAACAGACTCGCTAATAGAGAAAAACAAACAATCGCACCAAATTCGGAGGGAAAAAGCTGAGTAATCAAAAGCCTCGGCAATTTATTTGCATTCAATTTGTTTTTATTTGTAGTATTGGCTGAGCGCTCTCGCGTGTGCGCGAGTGCGTTGTGTCAATAAAGATAAATTATTCAGGCGGGGCCGCTCGCTCGGAGCCACCGCCGTGTTTCGCGTAAATACCTCTGCGGTAAAACGCACGGCGCGCCACAAACCGGCCGCTCGGCGTTGCGATCCCCGCTGATATCTTGCACTTTGTATTTATGATCTATAAATAAGTTAGCCATCTAAACTGGCCGTTAAAGTGATTTACGCCGGTCCATTTTGAATATTACATCGTGTGTGAGTAGTTTGCATTGCAAACCGCGCGAGCAGTAGAGAGACGCATAATAAGCCAATATAGGTCTTGTGGTTTGATCGAAACTAATTACAAGACCTCAATAAGTTATTTAAAGAATCACAATTTCTTTATTTTCATGAAAATCAACAAAATTTAATGTTGCAATTGAAAAAATTTTATGTAAGCGTCAAACCAGGGATTTATTTGGGATTAAAACCTTTTCCTAGTTTTCCTTTCCAATAAATTGGAATCTTGAGGGAATTTGGTCCTCAATTTTGACGTTATATAAACATATTAATTTGTTAATAAATTAACTTTTAATAATTAAACAATTCTCATTTATTTAAAAATTTTGTGCAGTAGAACTACTTTTGATGCGGATATAACAAGAATTTGTTTATCCATGAATATTAATTTATGTTTTAAATATAAATTGTAAATTAAAATCAGTTTTTTCAATTCCATAAACAAGAAAACACAAGAAAAACGTTTCAAATATAACAAGAAACAAGAAGGTCTTGATGAAGCGATTCCATTCCAATTAATTTTTATCAAGAATTTTCATTACTCTTAATTTGAAATACTTGACAACTGTTTCAGAGAGTGGGTGCTCAAGTCCGAGCCGAATTGGGGCGGCCACGTTCGCACTGTTGAGCGCTGCGAGCATAGTCGCCATCGGCCGCTGGTGCTGAACTCCCTGCTTCTCTCTGCTTCAAAAAGGTGAGATGCAAAAGCGAGATAAAATTTCACCGCCGCAGCAAAAGGCACCCTTGCTTGCATTTGAATCAGTTTAATTTCGATGAGCATATATTTGTTTGATGGTCTTTTTGCGTGTCTAATAACCGAAATTTGTTACAGAAATTGCTGCTGAACGCGCAAAAATGAGCGAATGAAAGTGAGAGAGCGAGCGAGCGAGAGAGAGTCCATTAAAAAGCGAATCTACCGTAGTCAGCATAATGAAGTCAGGGGCCTTTCCTAAAATGTAAATTGGACGAAGCGACCAGAGGAGCGACCAGCGCGCACTACTATCGGAAAATATCATCACACATGCGGAAAAGGCGGCAAGAGAAGTGCAAAGTTGGCAGAGTAGTCAAAAACGGACGAGATCAAATTTTTTCATCTCGGTGACTAAAGTTAAATTCGTTTTTCGCGCGCGCGGATATGTAAAATTTCCAAAGCAGGGTAACTGTCTTTTTTGTCTTTGAACACACACGCACGTGTATGTGCCGAACGAGAGCGGGGAGCCACCAAGAAAAAAAACGTGCAACTGCAAGAAGAGTGAGAAATCGAGCAAATTCAGTGTTCATATTTCACGACGAGACGACGATATATTATTATATTGTTATAAAATTGAAGCAAAAAAGAGACGAAATTAACGATGCGAAACGTTTCAGGGGACGGATGATTGAATGTCACTGCTGACCTGCTTTCCTTTTTTCCTGAATTTGTATAACTTGCCTCCTCTGAAGACATTGAAAAGCTGGAGGTTCATTATTTTTGACCGCACAATTCAATCTTTGAACGATGGATGCTATAAAAGTGCGGGTTTTCGAAGTAATTTCTTAAGAATCATTTCCTTTAAAAAGTAGTGATAATTGATTAAATTAAGAGCTTAGTCGTCTAAACCTGATACCAAAGGACCACGCAAAAATGATTATTTTCAATTCCTTTATATTTATTATGTTTAAGTTGTATCCAGATCTATATATAAAGTGACGCGAATTTTTGATGAACTTGTGTAAATAAATTAGCGAAAAATAGGTTACGAGAGTGCGGAATGAGTGCAGAGTCGCTGTGAGTCAAATATAAGGGCGGGGTAATTTTTCAAATTTCAAATCTTCTGAGTGTGAAAATTCTATTCTCAAGCTCGAGCCAGCCGGAAAAAAAATTAAATTTTCTTATAAATATCCAACAACAAAAGAGCAAAGAAAAATGTTATTGCAAAGTCAAATTTGATCGTGATATAGTGGGATTGTAAACAAACACTTTGAATTATTATTATGATTATCAATGACTGTTTACCAGAATTATAATATTTTAAGTGTAAATAGCTCTCTATTTATAAAAGCGAAACAGCGCCGCCGCCATCATGGGTTACAATTACCTACCTTACAAGATTAAATAAGATTACTGAGTGAATTTATCGAGAGCACGGTGTGCAAAACATTAGAGATCACCCCTCTACCGCAGCTGCAGATTTTTTTAGCGTAATACAAAATACAAAAGAAAATTACCGAGACAATTTAAATACTGTAGAGCCCCAGAAGAGAGCAAGACACTCACCCTGGACCATCACACAATTAATGCAGCAGCTAGAATAATCCTTTGCAGAAACTATAGGTGTTGATTTGAAGCTACTTGTTTGTTGATTAAATTGATTCTCTCCATTCTTATATATGTAAATGTGAAAAAAGGACTTGGTGATTTGAAGAAGTTCCGTGTTGCTTTTTGCCGTTCAAAATATTTAAAAGAATAAAATGCCATTTCAATGTTTCCAATGATCTACCAAACGATATTATGTTACCTTGGAAATCTTTAAAATTTACATGCTAAATGTATATGAATTATTGATTTCCACAACGAAATTTCATACATCAGGACACATCCAGAGAAGTTTTTGTATCTATCAGAAGTAACGTGGTAAAATCTTACAAGAAATTAACCAATGCGTTTTATTTTCCTATCCCTCAGGTTAAAAATAAGTTAAAAGAAATTCAGACTTGTTGATTTAATTGATACATTTTATTTTTTTATCCGATACACTGGACATCAATGGTGGGAATCTCTTTTATGCTTCCCGTTACTTGAATAAGGATGTTCGTAATTACTACATGAATAAAAACTGTTCGTCTTTAAAATGACAATGTCCGCTCTTACTTAGTTGACACACAAATCAATTTCATCTAGTGCTTGAACACGACAACTTAATGATACGGTAAAAGAAATGCGCGAATGAAGTGTGTATGTAATTCAGGTCAACACTGAGTGACCTCTTGCTGTTGATCTGATCAGGTAGTTGTCAAGAGCTCAATCATCGTCGCCACTTCCGTCCTTACGGCCGTCGTCCGACTCATCATCGCTGCGTCCACCTGGGGGCGAAACGCTGTTTTCCTTTGCCTCGGGAGATGCGGAACGACGGTCACGGTCGCGGCCACCATCATCGCCATTGCTGTGGTTGGCTCCAGGAGAGGAGCCTTTGTCATTATCTGTGTCCTTCTCCTTTCTGTCAGCAGACCTGGAGCGGGATTTGGAACGGGAGCGAGAGTCTCTCCTAAAATAGAAACAACCTAAATTAGTATTCCATAATTGCAATACAATAAAACTTATCAATTTTAATCTGAAGTAATTAGAGATAAAAAGACAAAACTTTTTAATAAATAAAATAAGTGCAATTTTATGTAATTCTTAATTAATTTACTTAAAAATTATTTCCAAATCAGCAAAAAACAAACTAAAAAATTGTTTATTGTTATTTTGGTGAAAGGCTGATGATTTATTTTGTCTGAAATCATCAGCATTACAAGACAAGTTAACATACTTGGGTGACTTGTCACGAGGAGACTTGGAGCGGCGAGGCCTTCCTCCGGCTTTCTTTCCAGCACTGCGGGAGCGCGACCTCGACTTGCTACGAGAGCGCTCACGTTCACGAGACTTTGACCTGGACTTTGATCTGGATTTGGAACGGGAGGAACGCCCCCTGCAACGGTGGTCCAAACAGTCAGCGTCAACGTTTCAAAAATCTTAAAAATCAAATACCTGGAGCGGGAACGGGAGCGACGTCCGCGGGACCTGGAGCGGGAACGAGACCTGGAGGAGGAGGAGCGAGAGCGGCGGCTCTTGCGACGAGTGTCCTCAATCAGACGGATGCGACGGCCGTTCAGGTCAGTATCATCCAGCTTGTCCAAAGCGTTGCGCATGTCCTGGTAGGTGGCAAACTCGACAACACTGAAAGGGACACAAAAAATAAATTATTAACTCATCGACTTACACAATTTAATAGTGCAATTCTGAGAACAAACTATATATTTTAAATTTTATTATCCTAAAAGGAAAAAGCACATTCAAAACTGGAAACTCCGTCTCAATTCCCAGACCGACTGTTTCACCCTTTTAAGGCTCTCCAGTATGACTCAGAAAAAGAAACTTATGGCGCCACAATCACTGAACAAGTGGCGCTTGGCCGGCTCGCAGAGGTTGTTAAAACCAGAGAGAAATGTTTGAGTTGAAATAAAATTTCTCGTCAAAGAATTCTCTCTGAAAAGTGAACCATGTGGGAGATACCATTTTTAAATGTGCTTGGTAACAATTTTGGGACTTTTATTCAAACAGTGTACAAAAGAGGGGATTGAGGTGCAAAAATTTAAATTTGCCCATTTATTTAATGAACACTCGAGTCTCATGTAAGGGCGTTGATTTAAGGGTGCTCAGAAATAGATTTGCCCAAAAATTAAAAGGAAGTTCTCTCAGCAAAGTGAAGGTGGCGCCATGTTTACCCTGACGCACCACCTCCGCGAGTAGGCTCAGTGCCACTCGGTTGGCGGCGCGAGTTTCTTTCTCCGTGTCCCACTGAAGAGCCCTCAGAGGGCGAAACAGTCTGTCTGGGAATTGAGATGGATTTTCCAGCTTTGAATGTGCTTTTTCCTTTCATACACATGATTCATTCAAAAAAGTGGTTTTAGGGCAAACAAAAATATTGTAATTACAAAATCATTTTAACATGTAGAAAAAATCTATGAAATTAAGTTACATTTATTAAAAAGAGAGAAAATATCCACAAATTAAAAATAATTTGCATTAAAGTAGGACAAAAATATACAGCAATTGAGAGGATTTTACTTTTCATATTTTTATAAAACTCACCCTTCATTGCGTCTCTGTTTGTGGGCGTCAGCGTACGTGACCTCACCAGCTTGGCGCATGTAGTCTTTCAGGTCCTGTCAAATTAACAAGAGCGTTAGTTTGCACTCTTCGATAAATTCAAAACTAGCATGCAAGACTTGTGGAGGACTTATTATGAGTATTAATCACATCTTTATGCCTCCTAATTGAAACAAGAGTGTGGGGGTTAAGTTCATATATAATATGTATATAATTATGTATGAAAAGCCAAACCAACTGTGAGAGAGATAGAGAGGATCATTCTCTGTAAAAATAATTAAAAAGAGGCATCTTGAGTTTGGTAGAATATTTTAAAAATCGGATTGGGCCATGTAACAAAATTTTAGCCGGTTTCAAATTCCTCAATAATAAATTCAGGCCTCTACGGCACCCCTCGCACTTGTCAAAATAAATAACGGGTTAAAAAATAAAGTCCTCCTCTAGAAGAGAGCAGCGTCTTGTCTTTAGTGGCGACGACAGGCATTTTCCTCGACTCCTCCGCAAGAGACCCAACGAGAGACAGAAACGCACACGCACAGAAAGCAGCAGGTTGGACGCCGATGGATGATAAAAATTAAAATAATAATACGGACATGGAAGTGCAAGGGGATGCGAGGCAGCAAGACGCAACAGACTCAAGATTGCAAGTTCAAAATGAATTGTATTGCTTCAAATTTAGTTTGCATTTTCTTATCAATAACTTAAAAATTATTTGTATAAAAAAGGAGAAAATCCGACTCCTTGTGATAGATTCCTGCAACCTTGGCCACAATATTACACAGCCCAATCCAAAGCTGATCAAGAACTGGGCTAAAATTTAAAATTTTTTGTGATCTCTGAATAAAATTGATTTGGTTAACTACCAATGTATTAAGAAAAGCCTCTAACATCGAAGTTACCTTTGCCGAGAGAGCGTTTAGGGGCACATTCTTTGGACCATTGGCGGAGGCCATCAATTCGCGCGCTACCCTTACTAGTCAGTAGTGGGATGACAAGAGGAGGCCTTGACATACAAGGGCATCGCTCGACCGGCACACACACCCGAGCCAGACTCACTCACCGCCTCACCAAGTGGGCTGCAGGCCACCCGAGAACCTATAGAGACCCAAAAACCCACCCCAGGAGCAGAACAGCGCTCCACCCCAACCCTGCCGCAAGCCAGGAACAGAAAAAAATATGTATGTGTTTGTAAAGCTTCTTTGGCTCTCTCTGTCTTCTCCCGCTCTCTGGCCTTGGGTTCGTTCAGGGGGCTTGGGATGTCCTCCCAAAATCGGTCAAGAGCTGACAACAGTCCGTCTCGCGCTTTTAAGAAGTGCGTCCTGAGCCTCCACAATGGTCCACCACACAGGGGTTTATTACCTCCTTAAAATAATTCCACACAGCCCTATATTTAGAAGCAGTAACAAGAACAGCATTTTATAGAAAAAAAAAACAACTGGAAAATCAACAAAAGCTTGTGTTTCATTCCAAAAGCCACCCTAGTTACGAATTTTGAAACTGAGCAATTTTGCTCAAAAGAGAAAATGCTGTTCCGTTTTGTCTCACCTTGCCAGCGGTGGCATGCGAAACGTAAAAAAGTTGACATTGTTTACCTGCCAGCTGACCCTGGATGACAAATTTTCGACGATCAGTCGAAACTCCGTCCTGGTCGGTGGTCCGTATCGTTCAACGCCGGATCTGCCCCAGCGACTAAAACGTGTATTTTACTCTTTTTGAAAGACGGGGGGCCCAGAGGGGAAGGGGAGTGGTCTATTGCTCCTTTTTGTTTGTGGTGAATAAAACCGAAACAAATTGTAGCTGGATTAAAAGCATTCGTTTAAGCGGTGCAGGAGAAGCAAGCAATCAATTCAGGTGCGTTCAGCATTCTCAAAATTAAAATGAATTTACAGATAAATGAAAAAACTAAAAAGGCAAGCATTGAGGATGGAGAGCACTACACTCTAATCGCCAATGCTTATAGACCACTCCAGAAATAGTACGACTTACCGCTCGTTGTTCCCAAACCTCGAGCGGGAGGAGTAGCTTGACCTCGAACGATAACCATCTCGTTCTCTTGCAGATCCTCGAGCTTGTTCCACCGAAACTCTGTTCAAATTATTCATTATTTAAATTATATTCAGAAATTACAAAATTTTATCAAACCTTTCTCCTAAGAGTTCTTTGCCGTTTAGTTCATATACTGCATCATCAGCGTCTCTGTAGTCCTCAAATTCCTAAAAGAAAAACAAAAATTTCAAAATTCTTGCTTAATCATGCCGAGCACGATATACATAAACAGCCTTGGAATGGCGTCACATAATTGATAAGATTCGTGGCTCTAGAAAAATACATATCCCCAAGTCACTGTAAAAACGAGTCAACTGAAATGGCTTCCTCCCTGTAGTTTACTTTTGTATAAATTAATTTATGTGGACATAGCAAAGCGTGCGCTTAATTAAATTAAAAAATTTCATCACGAATTTTGTCACCAACAAAAAAAAAAAACATTCCTGTTAGGGAAGACACAAGATCTTAAAAAAATTCAAAATCTTAGAGAGAAATTTCGAGAATTTGAATTGCACTTACGACGAAGCCGTATCCATTTTTGAGAAGGACGTCCCTGATGCGGCCGTAGCCCTTGAAGAAGCGCTCCAGGTCCTTTTCGCGGGCGCCGTACGGCAAACCGCCGATGTAGACTCTCGTGCCTACCATTCTGTGCGAAAATAAACCAAAATGAGAAAGATTTCAACTCTAAACGCCAAAGAATAGAGGAAAAGCGTTTTTTCTAGATAACGCCGCGACCGCTTGTGCGGCTTTTGTCGCGTCGCCGCCGCCGCGAATTTTCGGTGGCGCCGAATTCGAGCAAAAAAGTGCCAATCGCCCGAGAATTATGTCTCAGATTGCAGAGAATGCTGAATTCTGAAAGTAGCTTACCTGGAAAGCGAGCTGTGTGGCGAATTTACTTGAAACTGGGGCTAAAATCACTGACCACGCTATCAACAACAAGTTTCTGACAATATGGCCGACGTTCTCGCTCCGTTTTTGGCGGAAGCGGAAATAGCAGTTTATCTGCGTTCAGCGCCACCGGCACTTTGTAGAACTACTACGCTACTTTTTACTAGAGAGACTTTTTACAAGCTTTGCGCGCGAAACAAGATTTTTTTACAAGACACGTATAATATAATCGCATTTAATTAAGAGTTTTTCATTTCGACATTAGACATTATTCATCGCAATAAATAATTCAGAAGAAAATTTCATGGCAGAACATGTAATAACTGATAAAGGACAAAATTGTTATTAATAATAATGCCAAACAAAAGTACTCCAGAGCACAATAATAGTTATTGGTTATTGAAGTTTTCGGAAACTTTATTTAATGTGAAGCAGTGAAGAATGAACAAAATTCCGTAAAATTCCAACAATCTTGAATTTTTCGAAATTTTGCACCAAATTCTTTAAATAAATGTCATTTATGCCGATACCAAGCACCTTTTGTTATTTTCTCGTGCAAAATATGCAGGATTGCTAAAATTCCAATATTGCATCCCTCTTTTCCCCTCTTGTATTCATCTCCGATCGCCACCACCAAGGATAGCTGCGCACGTATTAGAGAACGGTGAAAGAGCTTATTCCCATTTTTAATATTTTTTGAAAACAATTTTGAACAAATCAATCAATCAATTATGTGGTACTACGAGGTACAACTGTTGATCACCAACCTCATCATAATTGTGGGAGAAAACGATTTCCCTAAGGACAACGTGTCTCCCAAACAAGCTGAATTCAACGCCCAAACGGTGTACTTTGTGAAGAAAAGGGGATCAGCCATGGACTGGTTAGCTTGCCGCATTCTTTCAGCAAGTAAGTCAATTTTTATTTTTTTCTAAAAAAAACCTGGTAAAAATAGTCAAGAATGTAATTCTTAAATCTTCTTAAATTGTTTTAGAACAAGGGCCTGAGATTGCTTACTTCTCTGCTGAACCAAATGAGGCCGCTAACATCAACAACTCTGCTACTCCCAATGCCATGATGGCCCAGTGGTTGGCCCGAGCGCCCAGTGGACCCCAACGCCGTGCCGTCGATATTACTGGTATGGTACTTGATACTGTTTATAATAATTACAATATATTTTATGCAAATTTTTATTGAAAAACGGCTTCTTTTTAATTCATTTCATTACTCATTCAACAAACTTATATCATGAAATAAGACATATATATCATACCTTTAACTTCATTACTTTATCTCAGAAATTTTAATAATTTAAAAATTATCAATTAAATTTTCAGTCGGACGGAATTTTGATGATGATGATGAATACAACTAATATAACAAAGATGAACGTCCACTGGGCTAATGATGGAGTCGTGCATAAATAAAATATTTATAAAAGAAATAAAAAACATAATTTAAAATAAATGTACTTTAAAGAACCAAAAAAAATATTTAACTAATTTGTAATTTCTTATCCCACAAACAAATTAAATTTTGAGTTACTCATAGTCCGGCTTTCCTGCAATCAGAACACAAAACGTTCATTTTGATTATTAATTGCAAAGCAAATATCTATGAGGAAGTTTTAAAAGACCGAGCAATTTTATGCCCTTGTAAAATTTAATTTGTTTTTTTAAATATTTTTTCTTAATCATTCTAGCAGCAGCAACAGAAAGTAATTTCCGCCTTTTAAACAGGGTTGACGAGCGCTCTGAAAGAGCGCTCAAAAGAGCGGAGCGCGCGCGAGCGTCGATTTTTTTCAAGCCGCGAGCGGGAGCGGGAGCGTTTTTTCAAAAGAGCGCTGAAAAGAGCGCTCATTTACGCTCTTTTTGGGGACCATAAATTGGTGAAATATTGCTCGAAAAACATAGAGAATTTTTCATTTTCCAAATTTTTGAAAAAAATTTGTATAAAACTCAATGGAAATGAGTATATTTTTAGACCATACATAAAATAGCAATGAAAATAGAATTGTAGGTAAGAAATAATGAAGAAAACCAATCCAAATAACAATTTTACTTAAAAAAATAGCGACCCCAGAAAAAGAGCGCTCGCGAGCGCTCTTATTTTGGGTAAAGAGCGCGAGCTTGAGCGCTCGCGTGAGGAAAAGTTGGAGAGCGCGAGCGTGCTTAAAATCAGCGCGCTCGTCAACCCTGCTTTTAAATAATGTAGAATGCAGTATTATGTAGCGCTAGGCTAAAATCTCAGATACCTAATAATACGGAATTCAAATTTTCATAGTTCTCCCCTAATGATTAGGTTTATCTAAGTAAAATAAAATGCAAGTGGTTCATTTTGCTGCATGCTGTAATAAGTATAGGACAATTTTAGTAATGCATCATCGTGTATAATTATTATAGGATTACACACTTCCTCTCATGTAATGATAATAATAATAAACATTCACACAAAGTTTGTCCCAAGATCATATTTCACGAAAAAACACATTATTTAATTAAATATGAACAAGCTGGCCACGGAATTTTATTGCAAAAACAGCGAAAATCGCGCGCAGCCCAGCCCGCTGGCAACAATTTGATATATTAAGAAACAAATAAAAGGCCTTTTTATTACTGCATCAAAGTATGTCTGCCTGCATCACCACTCTGGGCTTCAATTCAGCGTGCATAAATATGAACAATATGGATCTTGGAGAAACGAATTGGCATCAATGTGTAATGATTGCATAAATAACAGATTCACATATATTCACTTGAAAGAACAACTGGATTGGCACAGCAAGAAGGATTTATCCGCACTATTATGTAAGTCACTGTCAAATCGTTTGGTTTTCGTTCACAATCCTTGTTTAGCGTCCTCGGTGTCTGATGTATGTGTTGTGTGTAAGTGTATGCGCGTGTCGTCATTTTTGTTCGTACAACAACACTTTTTACTACTTGGAATTTCTGATCTCCACGCCTCATATTATTTTAATAACACAGTTTGCTTCGAATATTTTTGTGATCAGCTTGAATGTACACTCTACCCTGCTCTCGGCTCCTGCGTTCTTTCTCTACATTCATGGCAAACAAAGATACAATAAAGGCCGATCCTTTTTTAAAGAAAAAAAATCAGGTTGCAATCAAATGTTATCCATTGTCCTTTCCTAGCAAATTGTAGTTCAAAGCGCAGATTACAAAAAATTTTGAGCATTCATCTGCCAAAGTGGCATTGACCGCAGTATTAAAAACTTATTTACAAAATCAGCAATGGCAATCAAAAGTCATAAGGAAATTTAAAAGAATCAACAGCTGTGTTATTGTGCTCTATTTGCTCAAGTTCACTGCAAACTTAGCTCTGCACTGAACCAAGCTTATCAATCTAGGACACGTCTACCAAATCATGAGAGAGCTATCGTTCCAGTTTGTCCTCAGCCTATCAGAGATAGTGCCACCTTTAAAATTTCAAATGGTGAAGATTTTAAGCACACCGGAATCTAATTTTTACTAAATAAGCAAAGAGTGCTAATTTAAAAAGCAATGGAGAACTTTTAGAAATTAAAAAAGCAACTGGGAAGTTTTGGAAATTGCACCCAGGTGGCAGAATCTCAATTGGAAGTGTTATTTTAGTCAGAATACTGAATACGTTTAAGTCTTTGTTGCTCAGCTCTTACTGATGTCAATTCAGTTCTCGCACTCAACGCAAAATTAAAGTCATCCGATTGTTAAATTTTTTTGAGTAATAGTCGTCTTGGTTAAAAAATATAGTAACGTATCTCTCTGATTTAATCCTGGGTCAGAGGTAGAGAAAGACACTGTAGTTCAGAAAGTTCTGCGAGAGAAGAGGGGGAATAATTAACATAGTTATCATTCAAACAAGTGGAAAAATGCCAGTTGTCCTGTCTCTGAATTACAATGTCCAGATGAGAATCTATCGCACACACTCACACAGCCTTGATATGCAGAGCACATCGATCACTTATGGAATTATATCTTAATTTTTGTGTTTTTCTTGTTTATAACATTTTTTTGTGTGGCTTTCGTTTTTAAGTTAAAAATCACTTCCCTGTAACCCAACACTTTACACAACCCCCACTTAATTTGTGGAATAATTAAATCTGTAATTGGACTATTATACGATTTTTTTGTTTTTTCTTCGTTAAAAAAAAAAAAGAATTCAAGGCAATCATGAAGAGTCAGTCCAGTCCATCGCAGGGTCAGCATAGCATCGGTTTGTCAGTAATAGGAGGAAGGCTGCTGCTGTCTGGCATTGCTCACATCATACGCCTGGACCAGATGCTTGACATGGGACAGCATCTCGTGCAGGTGATTGAGTCGTTGCTTAGCATTTTGGTACTTGGAGTTGCTTTTGTTCTCCTCATACTCTTTCATAATCCGATTTTTCAGAGTCTAGAAATTGATAAATTTTGTTTAGAAAAGAAAATAATACAACTTTCAACAAATCAATTTATGAAAAGGGGGAAAACATAAATTAACGCAATAGAATTTAAAAGTAAAAGTTCCTCGTTTAAAAAAGACCAATTACTTTCACTATCATTTGACCGGCTTCATTTCCAAGGCCAATTAACAGGAATTTATAACAAAGTGGGTTAAGAGGAAACTTCCAAGAAAATCCTAAAATGAATTGTACATACCTTCCACCCCTCGCTGCCATTTTCTTCCCTCTTGAGCTGCTCTTGAAGAGCATTGAACCTTTGAGCAACCTGTTCAACGATGGAGTGCAGTTTCCTGTACTCTCCGTACTTGGCGTTGAACTCGGCCTTGTACTGGTTGCGTTGCTCCGGGGTCCTTATCGTTGTGTATTTCCTTCAAACAAGATTTAAAAGTGAAAAGGCAAAAACAAAAGTTTGATTTAATTTACAAGAGGTAGTCGTCAGCAGGAGGGGTGTCCGGCTTGTGAATCACAACTGCCGATTTGTCCAAACCTTCTAGTTGACTGTCTGGGCTGCAGCTGGTGGAGGTGACCCTGGGACAACTACTCCGACTGGTTTGATTCGCAACTTTGGGCTCCCTGGACGACTCCTTGACAACAGGTTCCCTCGTCGGCTCTAAGGAGGTCATCGACCGTCTCGGCTCGATGATGTCCATACCACGAGGGGCAAGGCTTAGGAGCGGCGAGGGCGCCCGGTGCTGCTGTGACGAGGACACAGGCATGCTGATTGGCTCTGGTCTCCGGTAGTGAGAGATGCGCGGCTTCTTGGTAATGAGTCCGTCAGCGCCGTCATAGTAACCGGGCCGCTTGGCAGAGAGGTCGGACGACGAGATTATGGACGGGGGACTGCCAGGGTGCGTACTGGTCGGCGACTGGCCCGAGCCGGAGGAGCTGCCTCCGTCGCTGCCGGGAGGGGTCAGGTTTTGGGGCTTCCGCCGCTTGAGCACTTGTTTGTCCTGTTCAGAGTAAAAGGGCCAGTCTTCCTGCACATCGTTCCACAGACTGTGGTTGAGATGGTAGGTATTATCACGTAGGTGAGCGACCTGTTTAAGTACCATGCTCAGAGAGTTCTTCTCCTTCATTCTTATGCCATCTGAAAAGTGATTTGCTCTAGATAAGGACTTGCTTCTAAACACAGCAGAAAATATATCAGATTGGATCGATTTTTGAGTCTCTTTTATTTTGTAAATCTTTAGCAATTGACTTTTACCATTAGAATTTTTAACCAAGACTCATTAGAATTTAGATTTATAAATTATATTTTTTCTCTCCAATTATCAGATAAGACAAAATAACCATTGAAGATATTTAAAAATGGAATTTAACCACTCCCTAAATGAAATTCACTGCATCTTTTAGCAATAATTGCCAAGGGGGTAGAATCTCAAGCACACTCACCATTACTAATCCTATTAATTATTTCTATTTTCTTGAATGGCCTCAAAGCAAGCAAGTGAATTAGCCTCTCTCTGCAAAAGGAACAAGCATCAAGACAATGTGTCGAGGGGCAATTAGGACTTGACCAACCTCAACGGACTTTTCAAGATGTCAAGTTTGGCAGAGGGTTTGCTATGTCGTGATGGTAGGTTTGTGTTATTGGAACTGGACACAAGGTGGGGCAGTGACGGCGTCATTTTGTGGCGGTAGATTGGTGGCGACGGCTCTCGTCTTGGCACCAACCCCGACAGATTGTTGCCGCCGGCCTTCTGCACCCTCTTCACCTTGCGTCCGATGTCTGGGCCGTTCGCTTTGATCACCTGAGTGCTGCAAAGAAATTACCATCGTGAGTCTGCTGGAAAACGCACATTCGAGCCAAGTGCTTACCAGTTCTTCTTCTGCTTCTGCTCCGCAGCGACCCAGTTCTTCCTGGCTGCCTCGTACACATCCTCCTTGGCTTGGATCTGCATCTTGCTCTGCAGAGTGCCCAGCGCGTCCAGCGAGCTGCTAGAAACAATACAAAAGTCACAAATATGCTTATATTTGGAATGGGAAATACGCACCGGGGTCCATTCTGCCGGACACACATGAAGCTTCCTTGGGAGCCCTCGATGTCGGCAACACTACTAATGCTGAATTTGAACGTATGGCCATTGTTGGGTTGTGGCGACGGGAATGACAAAAGCTGAAATAAAAACAGTTGTTTAAAAAAGGAACTAAATTACTCAGATCAAGAAATAAAGAGGAAAATATGGAATTAGCAATATATTTGCGAGTCCAGCGGTTTTTCTCTGAAAAATTAAATTGAATGGGGATCCTTTGATTTGCATTGTAAGCAGCAATTTTATTGTCGATTTAAATCTGCTATAGCTGTTTAAATTTTATTTTTATTTTGAAACAAGATGATATATTCATTTTCAGCTCTCTCAACACTTTCGCAGAACCTCGTGACAGCAGAGTAAATTTGTTTTACGATGAGAAATTGTGCATACACTACGCCAACTCGAATTTCAATCGCATTTCAATGCGCAATTAAAATCTCAACTTATCACGACGTCGATAATTTCAAATGAAAATCTCGTGTACTCGCGGCCTCTCCCTTGCGATTGTTCCTCTCCTTCCTTGTTAATTATGCGCCGACCAGTCGTTTGCAGCGAAAAGTGGCTAATTAAAAGAGTAATGCGCGGCGTGTGTAATGTCCACCCAACAGCAGGAGGGCGGAGGTTTGGCGTTTTGAAAAATGAAAGCACTGCAGGACAAGTTGGTTGAAATAATAAATTGCGTTGGCAGATCAAACAATGCTGATAATGAGACAACTTGACCACGTGACCAAAACTACTCTTACTTTCGACTTGTTCCTTTTAGTTTTTTTTTTTTACTCTGCATCTGCTGCTGGCAAAGGGAGGGAGGCAAGTGCGAAAGAAAGACCCTAAATATGGATGGCAGTGGTCGCTCGGATCGTGCCCGACTTGTTCTGCAGGCTTTTAATAATGATAATCGTAATAAAGCTGCTCACTCGGTGTATATGGAACTCCTCCACATACAATCAGCACGGCGGCAGCAGCGGCAGAGAAAGTGTTCTTTATAAAGTGGGCCACTTTCAGTCCGCGCCGCATATCTATGTATTCCTATGCCAGCAAGCCAGCGCAGTGTGTAATTTCACTACAATAAAAAGAGCCTCATGCAAGTGTACATCGGTGCTCATTTTAATTTACAAATCGTGCGCAGCGGCACTGCAGTTTCTTTCCGCTTGCATAAATCATCACCGCCTAATTAATAGATTTTGAGTTTGTGAAATATACTGCTTCGAAGGCTTTGACACAAAAGCACCTTTCGCCTGCTCAATTGCTAGGCGGAAGGCGAAACAAAAATTGATTGACAAATCCGACTGATTATATTGAAACAACCTTAAGCTTGGTAAAAATGACTGACTGTATCTCATTGCAGAGTCAAAATCAACGGGAGAAGGAAAATGGTTTGGCACGATAGAAAACCCCAAGGTCGTTTTGAAAGGTCACAATAACAACAATTCCATTTTTCGCAACATACGCAAAATTTTCTCGGAGGAAATTTTTGAGCCTGTCTTTCTCAAATTTGTATATCGGCGTGACCTTTGAGAGTTTTGGGGGCATATTTTTTTTTTTTAAGTTTGCGTGCGCCTGAGAGTTTGAGATCAGGGCCAGCGTGCTGGCAAGGGTCATCACTCGAGCCAAAGCAGCGCAGGGTCGCCGCTGCTGCACCTCGAAAGCTTTCCTGCTTCCTTCCCTTCCACTCTCTGCTTGTTGTTCTGGCAGTAGCGGCTCTGACGACAACAACCGGACGGATCGTATGCAGAATGCGGTTCGCGAGCGACTTTTATTGCGGCGACCGATTCCGTTTTGCAACCGTGGCGATTAGACGCCATATTTGTCTGCACGATTGAAAGTGGATTATTGCTCCGGTTCAATCGAAGGTTGGCAGCACTGCTTCGAGACAATTTGAATAATGTAAAAAAGATGGTTTCTACAATTATATTATTAAAAAAAAAAAAAAAAAAAAACAAGAAAGATAAAAAAAAATGAAAATCGTTTTCTATGTTTGCTTTTGGTACTGAGGTGAATGAAACCATTATTAAGTACAAATTCTTTTTTTATATTAAAGTGCAAACAATTAGATAAGAAAAATTTATAACACGTTTCTGCTGTTTATTTACACGACAGAACAATTATTTGCGTCACTCTGCGCTTAGATCTGAATAGACAAAAAAAATAGAAGTTGGTGTACTTTGTCTTAATCAGTTGGGACAACAATTCGCGAATCCTTGCAAAATGCAAAACTCGGTTCGTGATAAAACGACATCAAGCTGCGATGTGCAAGGCAAAACAATAAGCGTTGCATTTCCCGTGAAATTGAACTGACGTCACGTAGATTGCACAGCACAATAAATGGGAAAAGTTGATAACCGCCTTTCAGATAAAAGCATGAGATTTTCGTCAGCAGAGCGGCCGACCGATCGGATCCTTCGCGGAAACCGCCATTGTTTGGCAGCACTTTCATTTTGCTTGCTCTTATCGAATGAAGGACTGAAAAAGAGGAGTGCGTTTTTTCCTCTTCTGCCAATTCTCCCACAGCAGATTGGGTTATTAACTTTGTCTCGCGCAATTTCTTTAAGACATACAAAGCGTTCCCACAGAATGTATGGCAAAATGCTCGCAGCTTCAGACTTGGGCGCAGTTGACACTAAATGCAAATAAAGGAACGTTTATCACAGTAATGCCACATACAAACTTATGATTTTTATAATAGGAAAACTTAAGCATTGTCGCAAGAAAAGAAAACCGCTGGTAATTTTCATTACAGGCGAAATGATTTGTGTTCTTGCAGAGGTTGTGCGATTTGCTTCGCGTCTCGAAAATTATTTTTAATGATAAAGCGGCGCTACGCCCTGGCAGGAGCGTATTAAAGAGGCTGCAATGAAACAAAAAGAGTAATAGAGAGCCAGCTTTGAATCCGATCTGTTGGGTGGATTTCTTTGTTTTTAGCTGGAAGCTGGAAAAACCTGCTGACTCTGCTGGGGACACCTGAGCGTGCCAGTGAAATCCGAGACGTGTAAAATTGGCCGAAAGATCATATAAAAGAGTGAACGAGAAGAAAGAATTCCATACTGCGGCTTGTACACGTCTGACTGACAGACAGACATTGACGGAAATATCTCAATGAGATCAAGACCGTCGCCAAACGATTCGGGTTTCTTCAACCACCAAAGCTGCACATATTTCTCGGATGAAAATATTATGATGTTAAATATCAAATGATTTCCTGCTTAACTGCATGTCTACTTTTATTTGTGAGAAATTGTATTACAAAAAAAATGTAATGAAAAAATGCTGACAGTAAATTATTGACCAAGGGAGAGTTTATTCTACTTTCAGTACCAATAAATAAAGGAAGTTGTCTGGAAAATTTACATCTATAGAGGTGAGTTGCAGCCGCCCTGGAGATTTTCTCTCGCCGCCCAATCGTTTCTGGATTGTGAAAGAGTCTGAATCTGATCAGGAACTAAATAATGATTTGCAGCTCGGCGGAGAAGGTGAATTACAAGAAATAATAAAAGAGCCCCACCCAGAATTATATGCACTCGTCGCGCGACCTTAGCGCGTGTGTCACCAAAGACTGCTGCTGCTGCTGCGAGTTGGCCAAGATTCAATCGGCTCTTCGGCGTTATTAAAGCCGCTTTTTGCAGCAATGAAAATGAATGCTTTCTCCTCAATGGGCTTTATAGAGTAAGGTGAATGCTTTGTTACTTTCCCTTGCTGCGCGACCGACGACGAGTGAAGGATCTCAAACCCGGAACTTACTTCATGCACGCGGCGGCGGCTGCGGCGATTTCTAACCAACCAACCAACCAACGGTTGAAAGAAAGAAAAAGACTCGGATCAAGCGCGAAAGGGTGAGTCGAGCTTGTCAAATAAATGACCTCGGTCCGAGAAGAGAGAAAGCAAAACTCGGCAGCAGCAAATTGGAAACCCGAAAGGCGGCTTATGCCTCCGTTGAGGTCGAGTGCGCCCGATTGTGGCGAAATAACGATTTGTAATATCGGAGCCAAGTGAACACAACATTGCAGCGCGTGTAAAAAAATATACTTGTTTCACATTTGAAATTTCAACTCTTTGCAGTAGAAAGTTGCTACGCTTATACATCTAGAGCTTTAACTAACGGTTGTAAAAGATTTTACGAAAAAAAAGAAAATAAAATATTATTTTATCCAATCAATTAAAAAAGTTTTTATTTTCATTTCAGGATTTCCGGAATCTGAACCAAATAAAATTTCTAGTCTGAATTTGAAATTAAATGAAATTTTTTAAGCATAATGTGAAAAAACGTAAAATTTAATTTTAAGCTCAACCTTGAGTGAAATTCGCGATTTTTATTGAACAATGTTGATTGTTGCAGGTGAAGTGAGTTGGAATAATATGAAAAGAGCGAGATGAGGAAGGAGGGCCCTTTAAGGTGGCATGCTTGGGCTGCTCATCGCACCAGGTCACCGCTACACCTAACGGTCGGTCTAAAAGAGGCGAGGCGACATAGAACGATAGACGGATGGACGGACGGGCATGCATTTGCTACGTGCGCGCACGTAAATCAAGGACAGACGAGGTCGGCCGCGCGTGTAAACCGAGGCAGTGGGGCGGCCGGGCCCCGTTTCGGGTCTCGTCCCGGGGCCCGCTCGGCCCGCGCGCCACGCGAAAGAAAGCCAGCGAGCTCTTTCGCTGCGGCCGACGACGCTCGCCGCTTTTATACGCGGCCAGGGCCCCCTTCCCTTTTCGCTGCCGCCGCCGCCGCACCTGAATATAATGCTGCGGGGCTTGATGTAACCTGCCTCGCTCGTTCGCTCGCTGGCTCGGCGTCTGCCACTTTTCACGACTTACTTCATGCACCTTGCTTGCTCCACTATTGCAAAATGTCTATGTGCGGCTCGGCCGCTTTCCCTTATCAAAGGAATACAAAAAAATTGGCTGCCTGTCTGAAAGGCTAACCCTGCCATTGATTGGCCGCTGCGTGATGAGATGGAAACGGGCCCACGGCACTATTTTTAGACTCACGGCCAGGAAAATATGACGAACCGCAGACGGAAGCTTATTAGGCAAAATATAAATCCCTTGAATTCCAATCTTCCTTTCCAAATCTCTAAACTTAATTTTAAATAAGAATATTCATTTAATTTTTATAAATTAAAAAAGGAAATGTAATTTGTGTTTGAAAATTGAAAAATATTAATTTAATTTCGTTTCCTGTAAATATTACTTTTATTCTTGCCGAATTTGCATTAAATTTCAGCTCGGCCGCGCTCACAGAGAAACAACGAACCTCCTAATTTTCCACTCAAAAGGATTTGTGCCAGTGTGCCGCCGCAGATTCGGATCAGAATGCATAAAAAATGGTTTAAAAAATGCAGTATAGCTCTATAAAATAAATCTATTATGAAAAGAGAATGGGTAAAAGTTTGACCTTCCTGCCGCGAGCAGTGATTTTAGGAAGTAGTGTGTTTTTCCGGCACAGTTACAAAGCCTAACAAGCTCTTGGGAGCTGAAACGCAGCTCGGCGAGTAAATAATTGTTTTACAACTCAATCGCTCGCAAGCTAACCAGCAGAGTTGAAAAAGAAAACTTCTTCTGTGCGTTGAACAATTGCATGCATTTTATTCAGAGCAAAAAGTGCCGTTTTCCGCCATTGGGTGCAAAAAAAATTATAAAATCTCAAGCCGGAAGAAATCTGAATTTTAATTGTTTAATAATTGAAGAAAATTTTCTTGATTCAAAAGAAGAATCAAGCCTTGCAAAAATAAGTCAACCATTGCTCGCTTCAATGTTGTTTTTAGCAAGGTTAAAAATATTCGCTTACTAAACATTAATGTAACTGAAGTTCTCATGTTTGAAACAAATTTAAATCACACAAATGGCCAGAGGTGAAAAAAATTGAATAAATTTTGGAGGCCCGCGCGCGGCGAGAGGTAAGAGACGTAAAAAATTTAACTAGCCAATAAAAATGCGCTTGATTATGGCGAGTGGCCTTTGATTATATTCCACATCTCGCGTCGGGGAATGACTTTCACTCCACCAAACGGCCCTGAGATTTTACACCGGCCGCCGAGAAATAATAAAGCAGGCGAGCGAGCGACTTTATAAAAGGATCTGCGCCGTAGTCACTCCATTAAAAACGCAAACCCTAAAAAGAAAGAAGAAAGAAAACTGGCTTTTAAATTCAAAACCACCTCCCGAGGGTAGATCTGTGCAAATTCGAAGGTCGTGCAATTGCGACGAAAGTGCGCAAAATATGTTTGATTCAGCCTTGCCAGGTGGAATAATTTTTTGCTTGAAATTAAGGTTGGCTCGTTTTGTCACTCTCAAAGCATTGTCTGGCGCAGCTTCTGATAACGAACTTCCCAACTTGTAAACGCCTGTTGCTCGCAACCGTGAAGGATGAACACGGTCGTTGGTATGCGCAAGGAAGTAGTGCCGCTTTTCAATTTTTTTTTTTTACGTTGGTTGAAATTTCGGGGGTTGCTGGAGTCAACGTTCGCAACACCTGCCTCCTCACAAGGTGGACTAGGGGAGAAGAAAAGAGGCCTGCGGGGCAAGCAGCTGGTTGCTCACAAGAATAAAGGAAACTTTAAAATCTTTTTTGTGCATCTGCCGTCTGCAGAGAGGGAGAAAGAGAGAGCAGCTGAGATTTAAAAATTAAAAGGCAGGCGGAATTTAAAAAATAATATAAAATTTACTTACCCCTTCACTTTCTAGGAACTTGATAGTTGGATGCTGGCTAATTTTATTCTGAAACAGAACGAGGAAAATTGCGTTAGTATGTAAAGACAAATATTGAGGCTGCTTGTTGATGCATGCACAGAGATTAAGAGGTCTGTTCAAATAGCAGCGAGAAATTCAATTATGAGCCGTTTGCACCGCAACGAGGTCGGCATTAAATTTTATTGCGAGTTCATTTATTAACCAAAGAGGACGACGGTGGCGAAATTGGCTGCTTATTTCTTTAATTTTGCGACAGTGGCACGCGTGACGAACGGAAGCACTCACGGACGCGACAGACTTGCTACAACGCCTTCATTTAAAAGTTTTGAAGTCGATGAAGCTGCTGATAATTTATAATCAAAAATGACCACAAAGCATTGAGTAAGCCTGGAAAATTCAATAAAAATACTTTTTTCTTTTTGGATAAAATAAAAACCTAGAGATGCAAAGATAAGATAAGAGTTTCATCTTTTTTACGATAGACAAATTTATATTTATTTTTGGTTGATGATTTAAACGAAAAGGAGATTTTATTATTTTTTTGGCAGTGCAACTTGTATTTGAAAATTCAATAATTATAATTCAAGCTGACCATCAAACGCTGATGTGAGTCATCCTGGTAATTCCGGCGAGCGCGCGGTTGAAAGTTAACAAGCGCCGTGTTACGTTATCGTCTCGCGGTGGCACAAGAGAGTTACGCGACTATTGTCTTTTCACGGGTGGTTCGTTTGCTAAAGCCTACTTATCGTTCTTGTGCCGCGCAGATTTTACCCATTTATATATCAGAGAGAATAAATAAGTAGAGCGCGGAAAAGTCGATCACAATTTATAATAATATAATTGCAGTGCACTGGCAAGGTCGACTTCTAGGGCACGCCGACGAAAAAAGCAAAGGATCAAAATTAGCCAACGGCATTGGCGACGGTCAAAGTTTCAGTAATTGCTGATTTGCTTGCCAAGAGTACTCAATCAAATGGCGCACGTACACAAATTTAGGTTGAAAAAAGTATTTGTGACCAACGTGAGCATGAAAAACAAGAAACCGAAATTTCCGCAGGATATATTCAAAAGTGGTTTCCTAAAAGTCTTTTTTCTTCACCGCAAATTCAACAGAAATGGGAAAACAAAACCTTGAAAAAAGAAAGCATCCTGGATAAGTTTAAAATATTCTTAAAATTTAATATACAATGAAAAAAAAAACATGCCGAGAAGTGTAAATGAAAATGATTTTTTCGGACAAAAATGTTACGTTGTTTATCTCCAGAGTGAATCGAAGAGTGCAAATTACCCCCCAGCGATTATGTGTCTGGCCGTCGGTCCGGCTGCTGGGGTGATGTGCATTATTTATAAGCATTTGGGCGGCTCGACCGAGATTATTCGAGAGCTCACAGCTTTCAATCTCGGCAGTCGGTTGCTAAGGAAACGCGCTTTGTAGTCACTTTGGGTGACGTGCAAACAGCACCAGACTGACGCCATTGCAAAGCTCCATTACCAGCGTCTAGCGCGGGCGATGCACATTTTCCTCCCTTAATTCCGGCTTCGTTTTCGGTCACGTAGGCGGCGCCTGACGGAAGAATTAGGGGCTATTTTGATCCGTCGATAAAGATTCGCGTGATTTTCCACTGCCTTATCAAAAGTTTCTTGTCAAACATGTTAAAAAAGATAAAAAAAATTCTGGCTCCAATTTGGCTTGGGGAAAACACTTCTTTCTTAGATCCTTATTTTTTTACAAGATAATTAATCTCGTGATAAGTTTAATTCTAAATAATATTACTTTGTTCTTGTTACTGTTCAGGTTTATAAAAAATTCTACTGAGATTATTGGTAGGGAGCAAAGCAATATCAGTCTTATTTGCGAGGAATTGCTATAAAAATAAATATAATTGTAATATATACAAGCGTCGTAAGTGAATCTGCTCAGAAGGATAAAAATAGCAAATTTTTTTTACGTTTTTCTGACCGCTCTTGCTCTTCAGGGGTGCGAATTTGCGGCGCAATAAGACGCACGGCGTGTCTAACTCGATTATACAGAAAATAATGAAAATCGCTTGGTTCCGAACGCGCCCCGCGTGCAACTGGTGAATTTGTACGGCATCTTTGACGTCACGAGTGCTCAGTCAGTCAGTCATTGTTAGTGGCGATGCCAGTGCAGAAATTAATTAGGCTGATTTTCGCCACGGCCAGAGCGCGGCGGTAATAATATTATGTGAAAGCAAGAGTCGAAAAGCTGCGAGGCTCCGACATGAGAGCGGCCAGAGAGCGAGATTGTGGGTGTCCTTGACTTGAACTAGCTGTGGCGAGGCAGGTACACCTCTCTGGATCACATTTGGAAGGGAGAACAAAAATAAAAGCGGCTCTCGCTCTTTATACAATCAAGACCGACGCTTTTAATAACGCAAAAACGCAGTGCTGGCAAAATTGTCAACGGACCAAATTGCGTCCGCTTCCGGTCCTTATCACCACCAATCGCCAGTTGAATTTTGAAAATTTGAGTCGATTTTCCGCGCTCGTGTGCGTCTGCCCGGCAGGAAGTTTTGATTTCGCCTCGTGATAAATTAATTTCTGGCAATTTTAAAGTAAAATCCGCAGTTGGAACGAAATTTCAGGGGTCCCTTTGTTTCAAGTGAAAAAATTCCTTTCTTTGGTGTACAAACAAACACGAATGTCCGACTCGCGGCTGTTTTGAATAACTCAATCGAACTTTCACTCCAAACATTCACTCACAGGCGCATCTCTCAAAATTATTTAAGAATAAACTCTCGCAATGAACTCGAGTGAAAAACAATTTGGAAATAAATTTTCAATGAAATGGGTCACATTTCTTTTTGAATGACCATCAATGAAATCAGAGTGGCCGATCAAGTTATCGCTAAATTAATATATACTGAGGCCGAGTACAGAGCAACAAAGATTGATCTGGAACTGCAATTTCCAACCATTATCAGCGGGAGATAATGTTACACAGAGAGAAGTTGTGCTGCACCGTTATCAGCGGTCATACGCTTTATCAATTATCACCCAAAACGGACTATTTTTCAGACAAAAATTGCAGCAGACAATGGAATAAGTGAATAAATAGTATTTTTGAATTAAATTTCAGGCTAATTTCAATTAAAGAGCTGTTTTTAATTTCCTAAACGTGACAATGACGCGTGTTTGAGATTCTGAAATAACGGAATTTCAAAGATTTAAATAACTCAAAGGTAGTAAAATGGAAAATAATGATGTTTTAAATTTAACTTTGTACAATGCCGCTCAATGGTGTGAAGTAAAATTAAGTATGTACTATATACTTAATTTATTTTATTTACTGAAGTTCTAGACAATTCTTTTTTTTTAATTTGCTACATTTCGCTATAAATATTACTTCAAATCAATTCAAAAATTAATTTAAGTATTAGTTTAGTCACAATTTAACTTTTTAAGCAAATCCTTTACATCTTTGCCATAATAGATTAAAATTGATGTTGCAAATTCCTTTTTAGCATTTAAAAATGCATGTTTTGATGAGTATTTTTACGCCTTTTCCACTTTTCCAGATTATTCTACTAAAGCAATATTTTCCAACATCCTCGTTTCGAGTGACACCCGTGGAACTTTCCACTTTCCGACCTAAATTAGAATTGCCATATCGATGCGTTCGCAACTATGTCAGGTGCAAAATTAGACGGCAAACAAATCTGTTCTCGTTTTTGTCACCTGCCAGCTGACTCACGCGGCTCAATTGTCCATCCATTCGTCGAGCTCCAGGTGACGGAAAAAAAATTCAAGTGCTGCCGTCATGGAGACGAGATGCACGTGCGTTGCCAGGCCGATCTTTTTTGCTTGCATTTGCATTTGACCCGACGACTTTGGCCCAAGTGCGCGAACGAAAGTGGCTCGAAAATGGAACAAGCTTGCGTGCGGGCCAATTTCCAATTTTCTAACACCGGTCGGTCAGTCAGGCGCGAAATTTTATTGCAGAAAGGGGCTTTATTGTTTTTGCACGGGCAGCAAAAAACACTGCCGCGGTTTATGCTGGTCTTTCCTCAAACGATAAAAAGTTGTAAAAATAAACTGTATTACAATAAAAAAAACTAACGCGCGGAGAAATTTCTTATTCCCTCTGCGTGCTTGCTATCTAAAAAATAAAACGTGAACCACTTGGTATAATATAAACAGAAACTCATTTAAAATATTTTATAGAAGTAAGTTTTAATAAGGTGGTGACAAAAGAACTTCCGGCTAATAAAAATTTAATTAATTTCAGGTTTCAGGTGCATTGCACTTTTCAAGAAAAAGTGTTTTTTGTGTAAAAAGGATTAAGTTGTTTTTGTTCTAAAAAAATTACTTTAGAATCGTCTATGTTTTGCTAATTCAAATCTGCCCGAAATATAGAAAATTTCTGAATTAATGCAATAATTAAATAACTAAATTCACCAAAAAACAATGAATGGTGTGAACGTGCAAAATGATCACCTTCGTTTACAACAAAAATCGGCTCATCAGCATTACGTGTTGCGCGCATTGGGACAACTTTGCGGGGCTTCAGTCGTTCTTCCTAACGTGACATTTGGAACACATGTATCGCACCGAGCGGGCAATTAATCGGAGCGGTCGGCAAATTTCCTTGCGCGGTGTCGCAACGAGCGCTTCATGAAGAGAGAAAAATGAAAGGAACCGCGGCTCGCAGAGGTGGAGGGAGCGCGCGGGGTGTCGCAAGCAGACAATCAGCAAGTGCATCAACCGAAAGAATTCCCTGCGCTTCCAAGAAAGATCTTTGACTTTGCATTTGCGTCTGGTAATTCCCGAAGCCATGCAGAGCGAAAATTTTCTGCGCTTCGACTCCCAACTTCGATGCTCAAACTTTATAAAGTGAAGCCTTTTCAATTAGGTGTTGGTGGATTTATTTGGTATTGTCGATTAATTTAGAGGAAAAGTAAATCTATAATTATGCAGGAGTCGGAAAATTCAGTGTGTTTCTCTGTTGTTTTAAAATAACAGAGAGAAAATTTATAGAAAAAGCATTCAAACGCATCAAGAGACAATTTTTAAATTTTAAATTCAGTGCTTCAGTGCATTTCTCATATTCGAGTTGGCTGCCGAAGCAAAGGTGCGCGTCCAGCCAAGGACAATTATTTGCAAGTTCAGCTCTCTTTGCCGTAGCAACGCGTGCAGCCTCGCGCCGTCTCTTTCGTTTTCTAGCTGCCATGGGAAACAAAAGGTCACGGGAAAATTGTTTCATAAGCGGCCAAATATCAATTAGCGAGACAATAATCAATTTCTTTCTAATAATAGTGGCTGAGAACTAGCAAAGGACAAATATAATAAAATGGGTTTGTCTAATACACTGAAAAGGAACGAGGCGATTTAGAAGGGAAGCTTTTGGGAAAAGGTCATTGATGACGATCAAGGAAAACTATAATGCAATCAATTGGTTTGAAAATCTTCAATCTCTTAATTTAATTTTTGTTACAAATGAATGAAGCAAATAATATATTTTCCAATAATATTTTGGTTAAAAAAAACTCCCTTTCCACGATCTATTGATAAAATGACTCATTCTGGGCAAATAAAATCTTATCTTTGAATAGACGCTGCTCTAATTTTGCATTCCAAGAATCTGAGTTGTTTGCTATGCGCTCTAAAGAGGCGCGAGGAAAGCAAAATAATTTATTGCGGTCGAATATGGGCATGGAGGAGAAAGGGATCAAGAAGAAATGAAGAGAGATAAAAGAGTGCAGTGTTTGATTTCTCTCGGAAGGAATTTTTGTTCTGATCATTGATTTTGCACGAGTTCCTCGCAATTTCCATCAATTAAAATGATTGCAACAATCAAGTCATCACCAAAATCATACTAAAATTTGGCTTTTTATTTAAAAAAAAGTTGTTCTTTCTCATTCCTCTTCGTAAATAATTTGCAACTCTGAGAGGAAATTGCGTGGCGAAATTCATTGTTGGGTTGTAAATGGGTAATTTACTGCAGGTTCAATTGCAAGTGAGCTCGATTGTAAGTGCAGGTCGCTTTCTACTAAAGGTCAATTCGCCTGCTTTTCTCGGCGTGCGCGATTGTGCGAGTGGGGCTGATGCACCAACTTTTCTCATACAAGAACAGATGCCCAGTACGCCATGACGGACGGCCAGCAATTAATTAGCGGCGAGAACAAGAAGAAGTCTACTATCGTACTCACAACTTTCCAATTCAAAAGCCGAAAATCAGAGCGTTGCTCTTGAGCTTGAAATTACATTCAGTAAGCGCAATTATTGTTGTATTTTATTTTTTCTCAAAACATCACGTCTGCATGAGATGAATACATAAAATCTGTTGCAATATCAAAAATTATTTCAAATTGTTGAAACTTTTGAAACTAATCAAGAAAATAAACATTTTTCCCACAGCACAATCGTATTTTCCATATTTATCATGAGCAATTAATTTTTTAGCGACGTTATCAATGTTGGCAGGGGAAATTATCATCACGCCAGAAAAATAAATTTGTTTTAAACAAGCCGAGTTTCCAATTAAAATATTTTCTCATAAATGGCGCACATTTTCCACGCGATCGAACGAAAACGCGAAACCGGGCGAATTGCGTTTATCTGGTGACCTGCTACCATCAAGTGTGCAGTGCGGGTGCCCTCACTTTCCAATATTCCGTCACAGTTTGAAACACGCGCCCGATCTCAAGGGCCGCGTGCCAAATTCGCCTTGTTGGAAAACGTGGACATGTCGCCAATTATTTTTTCCTGATTGAATAATCGCGGAATATTCTAATTCGACGACTGGACTTTACTTTCACTCTTGATTGATCTGAATCGCTCTGGTCTCAAATTGTGTAAAGATTTCTTGTACATTTACAATTGTTAAAAATTTTCATTCATAGCGTTTTTTCGTTGCAATTTTCTAAAAATATGTTTGAGACGTCAATAAATTTTGTTTTCCAATTATTTTTTCATTCTTCAGAGCTTTACAAATATTTCCAACTTGGCAATTTAATTTTGATTTTGAAGTGCAGCAGTTGGTTTCAAATTTCGCAAAAGCAGCAAATAATTAAGCTGTGAACTTTCAGTGTGACAGGCTCGCGAGCGGAAACCGCGAGCAACCTTTGCAAGTTGGGCAGAATCATAAATTTCAGTTGCGACAGAAATGTTGCCACGAATACCCATTCACAGGACGTTTTCAATTTTCTCTCTCTAAATGGTTTGACGATTATTCCATTTTCCGCGGCCATCATTCTTTTTTTCCCTGCGCCAAACAAACCAATTTTCTGTTTATCAGCAGGTAAATTCCAATAGCGCCGAGGCTGGCTGAGCCGAGCTGGCGTTGAGCAACCTCTTACCCAGCAGCACTTTATCAAGGTCGTGAACCTTAAAATGCCTGTGTGTGCCCCTGCCAGTGTTAGATAAAGAGCGTAATGAATAAATAGCGCGGCCAGATAAGTAACCGCGACTCGGCCGGACAATTTCTGCCTCCTCGAGAAAGAACCCTCGCTGACTTTCCCATGCAACCACCAACTGGCTTACTTAAGCTCACCGATAATGATACACACACTTGCCTTTTTAGTTTAGTGCACTTCCGCTTTTCGGATAAGATAAAACGCAAGTAGTCTTTTCAACGGCTAAATGACCACTATGAATTCCTTGCCTACCCTTACAGCAAAATTTAAAATGATAATCCACTTTAAAAAATTCTTGCTGTGATTATAGTTTAGACAATTTGAAACTTTGTTCATAATGCAATAAATTACTTCAATCAATTTGAAGTTCAAAATAAGGTCAACACATTCAGATTTTATTTTCCCTAATTTTTTAATAAATATCTGCAATTAATATAAAAATTTGTCTGAAATGATTTTTAATTAATGTTAGATTTCATTAAAATTTTGAATCTAAAGATAAAGGAATTAGCCCCCATTGCAGGAAAAGTGCATCTTTTTGCTGTCACGATTTTGGCAGGTTACGTGTGTGCAAGCGTCACTTTCATGTGTGATAAAATTTCACCGGCGCGAGCAGCGAGCAAGCGATTTACCTGGCTGGCAAATCGGCCGATCCAAATTTCGTAACTGGCGAAATGTTAATTTCATACACGGAATGCCGCCGCGCTTAGCCTCGTTATCGCGTTACGTCCAATTATGCTGGGCGGGTTTTTATTTAATTGGCCTTTTTTTATTTGTGTGCAGTGTAAATAATTGTGATTTCCGAGAAAATGCTTTCAAGGCGAAATGAGCGATTTGAATTAATTTTAAGGCACAACGCGTTGCCTAGAACTAGCAATTCTACTAATCCTAGACTAGATTGTGGTTATTAAAAACCAAGTAATGAGAGAGAATATAATAAAATTGACCTCGCATTTGATTCTAAAACAATTTCTACAAAGATGCGCACAATTTTTAAGCCAGAGTTTAAAATACTATTTTAAAAACTACTTTAAAAAAAATTAATAAATTGTTAACTTGGATTGAAATGTTTCAAACAAAAGGAAATCTAACTTTTTATGCTATTAATTATTTTTTGGTGTTTTTTTTTTCAAGAACTCTTGTTTGTAGAGTTGTTTAGTGTGTTCAAATTTCCATTTTTTCAACAGAAATTCAACGCGGATTCAGAAACTAAGCAAGAAAATAATTAAAATGTTTAAATTTAATTGGAATCTGCATTTAAAAAAGATAAGTATTTGTTTTCAAAAAAAAAATAATTGTTTCCATTTAAAACTTATTAATCAAGACAAACTTGGGAAATCTAACTTTTCAATTCATCTCTCAAAGTTCAGGCACGACTCGGACCGTTTACATAACGAGTCACCCTCAGCGATTTTGTGAATAATTCGATTAGCATTTATTTATTTCTTTACCAGCTCGGATCGGAAAGCGAGAAGTGCTTGTCAAAATTAGGCGTCGCCATTGTCTATCTTATCGACTGATTTTTTTTTTATCGAGTTTAAGTTCAATTTGGATTGAGTGTTAAAATAAGAACGGGGGCGAAAAGAGCAACGATTTTCGCAACCCGAACCTCTCTTTTCACACTCTTCTATAAAAAGCAGACCAAGAGAAAGAAAAACACATGCCGTGTGTTCGCGGCCACCCTCGAAATATAAACCGAGATTCTTTCACTTGGCATTCGGCTGCTCTCGAATTCCGACCTGACGTCACCCCCGGAAAAGGACCCCGAAATTCCACCAAAATTCGGAAATTTGATTTCAAAATTAATTAAAAACATCACTCAGAGCGATTGAGACTTTTTCCAAAATCTAAGACTTGTGTGAAAGATAATTTAAAAAAATCTTGGACCAAAACTTTCAGTTCGGATTGAAAATTTCCGAATTTTGTTTTGCCCGAAAGAGACCCTTTCGGTTTGAATGAGGGCCCGATTTGGGCAACGTTGGTTGATGGATTTATTTTTAAACCGCAGCTGAGTCCTGAACGGCGGACTGTCAGTCTGACCGACGACGTTTTGGGTCCGGTTGGAAGTGTCGGGTGAAGTGTGACGGGCCCAAAGTGGGCCGCCACGACTTAGATCGGCCGCGTTCGGACGGCAAATATTTGCTAACTGTATTTATACAGAGAAAATGATCAGAGGTTATAAATATATGTTGACGTGGCGAGTTAGTGGATAAATGCGGCGATCGGGGGCCGCGACGGTCCCCGTCGGGGCCCTGGCGACCCAGAGCAGGTCGTTGGCGACGCGATTCGGGCCGAACGGGGGCTCGGCGCGGCCGAATCGGCTGCCAACTTGTAGCAGACCTGTTACCTTCGGCGGACATTACTGTCGTGCTCGCCGAGGCCAGTTCTCATTTCGATTTGCACCGCTTGCGAGGGGCCCACCGACACCAAAAACCACTCACCGAATTCCTAATGTACTCTTCTATTGCTCGGTACGCCGAATCCGTAAGTTTGACGAACACAAACGACTTATTTTGCCTCGAATTTTCCGACGATTTTAATCCATACTGTTCGCCTGCGAGCAAAGTCGCCATTTCTGTACTGTTGAAACCAGGCACAGAGTTAGAAACCAGGATTTCGAAGGGGTGGAGATGACATTTGGGAGGGGAGAGCCTCGCTGCGGCGCATCCAGGCAGCAACTCGGCACCGCAAGTACCATCGTGTTCAGCACGTGGCCAAGCGGTGGCGCCACGCGCCGACACTTTTTATTCGCAATGCGCTTCAAAATTGATAACAATTTTGTACGAGATAAGATTTATTGCCCAAATTAAATTGAATTCAATTAGATTAATTATTTCATTTTGTGGTTGAATTCATATTAAAGATAAAAAAGGATGTGTCTGACAGTTTAATTAATGAATGATACATAATTCATAAATTTGCTAGGCAGATTTTCGATTTTCTATGCAAGAATGCAGATGATTTAATAATGCAATACAAATAGATTTTATTACAGATTCATCTATCTGTATTGCCTAATTTGAAGGTTAAAGATACAACAAGAACTATTAGTCGAAATTAATTGCCTGATATATCAATTTATAAATATTCAAATAAAAGAAAGATTATTTTCCGGATGGTAGAATCGACTTCTTACCAAAGGATATTGTTTTCTCAACTATTCGATAAAACCGTCAAAGCAAAGCCTTCTTCCAATTCAAATACCAACAAAATTAACTTCAGAAGCAAGATTTTCAAGTTTAATAAATTGCTGCAATAATAATTATCTCTTATCTATTTTGCATTCTTGTATACTTCCAAAATTTAGTTTCATCGAATTAACATATTAATATTGAGTCACAAATATTGGTTTTGGATTCAAATAACTGATTTTGCAGAATGAACAGTTTAATTTTTAAATTTGTTGGAAAATGTAGTTTGATACATTAGGTTTACTTGTGGGCAGCCTTCCTCATCTGGGTGAGAATATTGCTCAGCTCTTCACGCTTCCTCTTTCCGCGGGTGTGTGTGCCCAACTGAAATTATTTGGTAAGTCTCAAAATTGAAGTATGTATTGCTTCAATAAAACTCACCCTCCTCTTCAGGAATTTAAGAGCCCTCTTGTCCTTGGAAACCTTCAGCAATTCCATAGCGCGCTTCTCATAAGGAGCATGTCCGCAGACCTCCCTGATGAGTTCGCGGCAGAATTTTGTGTGTTTCGTCTGACGCTGAAATTTCAAACAAAAATTAATTTCAAGTCAATATTTAAATAAATTTGTTGAAAACTTACGCCTTTCAGGCTGGAGGGTCTGACTCGGATTTTCTTATCAGTTGTCTTTGTCCTGCCCCAGACGATCTTGGTGGTCTTGTGGCCCTTGTTCAGGCCGACGGCCATCTCATAGCGGGGACTCTTGCTCTTCTTACCCATGGCAGCTCTGATAATGGCAAAACATCAAGATTAAAGATGGAAATTTAAGAAAAATTCAGTCGAAAGTTCTAAGTTTTGTTTTTAAAGTGGCAGCTTTATTGTTTTGACATTTGTTGTCAATTTATGATCATATAACCGCGAACCCGGGCTATTAGATGAATTTGAATAAAATTATGATAACGCCGTGTTGGAAAATCAAAAACTTAAATTAGTAAACGAAAAATTGAAAATTATATTGATAGTTTTCAGACTGAAAATGCCCCGAACTACGTATTCGGTGCTGAATCTCGCGGCCGATATTTGTCCAATTGAAATTAATGTGTTTCGGCCCAAAACTACAGAATATTCAGTGATACACAAAACAAAAAATTGTTAAAGATACGTTTGATCTACAAAAAGTCGAAAAAATCGGCCCGATGAAGCCGATTTTGAATGATAAAAGAACACTCACGTTGTTTTCGGCCACCGGGTAAAAACACAAACAATTGAAGAATGACGAAAAAGCGCCACCACTTGGCAGCCACGCGAACTTGCTAACGACGGCATAGTATTGTACAAGAGTTTAGAAAATATAAAGGTGTTGTTAAATAAAAGATAAATTGATTATTAAAAGGTAAAAACACGGAAACCTTGAGAAATTATTGTTTTAGAGTTAAACTTTTGAATGAATCTGATACATTAAATTTTTATTTAAAAAAGCCTTAACCTCAAATATTAGAACCTCCTTGCTGCACTACCCACTCACCTGATCAAAATAAAAATGATGTCAGATGTCAAAACATGAATGCATCTGGTCAGATGTAAAAAGTCGACAACCTTTATTGACCAGATTTTCCATTATATTCAGTTTGGCTTGTAAATAAGCGGTGGTAAGTTTACCTCTTGAAACTGCATCACTTAAATTATTTCAAGGAATTGGTGCTTCTAGAAAAGAGAACAGAATCCATTAAATTTTGCATCTGCATTGGATCAATGAATGTCAGTTTACATTATGCACACATACATACATACATAAATAATACTCTGACCATTTTTCTAAACAAGGTTTTAACATATAAAATATGATATTAAAAAGCACATGAAATAGATAAGAGAGAGTGCAAAAATGTCGAGAGGTGGTTAATGATTTGACATTAATACACTTACATACACACACAATAAAATCTTCTGGAAGTATTCAAGTCCATTAAAATTACAATAAAATATTTTTGTCTTGCTCATAGAATATAATCTTGCAACCATGGAAGAAATTCACCTACTTGTGCAAGATGAGGGCCTTTCCAAAAATGCTATCGCCTTCCATGTCCCTGTGGAGAATTTAATGTCACCCCAACCTGACTCAGACCCTGGTTTGTTTTATTGCTGTTTTCAAATTCGAAATTAAATCTCCTTTGTTTTAGTCAAAGTCTTGAAAAAACCTCCCGCTACGCCAACTCGACTGGACCAGAAAAAAGAAATTGATCCAAAGCGGTCGAAGAGGAATTCAGAATGTCTTGGGCAAGGCTGTCGAACACGTTCTGCTTCAGCAGGGCGAGACAAGAAATCAGGTGATCTTTCCTTTTTAAAACACTTGCATTCTTTACTCAAATTCATTTCAGAAATGCGAGATGTCTACTGGAGCATGCTGGTGAGAAATTTTACAAGAATGATTGAAGATGTCTTCCAAACTTGTGAAAAGACAGACAGCGTTCCTCACTGCCAAGTAAAACTTAATTATAACTTTAAGTGTATGAAAACTAATGCAATTTCTCTCAGAGTATTGTCCTTATTTTGGAAAACTCGTTACGGGACTTCAAGAATCTTGTTTCGTGGATGGAGCTTAAGTGGAAGTATGAAAATACACCTGTGAAGGAGAGACCTAAATCACTAGCTTGGGAAGTCAGAAAGTCCAGCCCGTGCACTGTAAATTTTTCCAATTTTCATTTTAATAATAGTTTTAATGTAATAAATTATAGATTAATCGATCCCCAAGTGAAAATTATTGGACCCCTGAAGAGATGAAGAAATTCGAGAGCTTCTCAAAAACCAAGACTCCAAATAGAAACCTCAACTTTAACTCGTCCGAGTTTGAAAATGCGCTGAAGGAAATCAGAGCTGCTGAAAACGAGAAAGACAAGCAAGAAGTGGCAAAGGAAGATGGACCTCCGGAGCCCTCCATCTCTGAAAACAGCTCGGTTGTCATTGGTGACGCCACCTTTCCCTCAGTATCTTCTCAAACTGACCTCGAAGATGAAGCTGCAACTGTCAGCGAAGAGTTTGAGGTCACGCCTATTAAAATGGAGGGCAGTTGTCAGACTGACGAAATTGACCTGGAGAGTCTTGGTCCATTGGAAACCACCAAGGAAGAGGAAAAGCTAAAAGTTCCTCCTCGGCCTGCACTTGTGAAGCCAACCGTGGCCTCTTCTTTGAGCCAAAGAGTCCCTTCGAAACCTGCAGGCAGGGGCAGAGCTATGCCTGTGACGCCCACAGCTCCTCAACTCCGAACAGCCCGGAGCATTTCAGACTCCAGGAGCAACGCCTTGTCCTATCCGATAAGAACCCAAGTTAAGCGCCCTGTTGATCTGAAACCGTTTCCAACCTCAGCACCGGCAGTTCGGACGGTGAGTGTTATTTTTTAGTAAAAGGCCACACCTTCGGCAATTTCAAACTTAACCACTACTTCGTTAGAATCCTTCTCGTTTGGGAATCACCACTGCTTCCACTTTACCAAGTAAGCCTAACTTGGGTCTGGTTCGAGGGGTCAGGAGCAAATTGTCAGATATCGACCAGGTATCGTCAGAGTGCTTTGCATGACTTTCAAATTCTCTCTTAAGCATGTTTCTAAATTTTTAAATTCTCTTTTTAGAACTTAAATTTGTCAAAATAAAACAAGCATTATTATTTATTCTGCAAATTTTCATGCTTTAAAAAAAATTGATTACTTGTATAAATTTGTAAAGATTTATTTCTTCATCTAAAACAGCAGAAATTTGTGGGCCGACAGAACCAAGAGTTTGAACATCCAGAGCTTGCAGAACGCAGCAATTCTAGCAGCTCAATAAACAGTTCCTCCAGTAGGAGCAGCTGGGCCGACAAAGTCAAAGGTCCGTTGAGCGCACTCGCAACAACAACCGAAGTTCGTTCTGTTGAAGATCTCTTACTTAAGTCTAAAGACGCCACATCACCTGAAGGTTTAAAAAAAATTGTGAACTCCTCTTTGATAATTATGTTTGAACCTTTTTCTTTAGACGAAGGATGGAAAATGGTCAAGACCCGCTCTCGCCTCAAAATTTCGCCTGCTGGGAAAGTAGACAATCTGAGGAGAAGCGCTACCATCATCAAGAGCAGCCAAGACCTGAATTCAAAATCAAATTTGTTCCCTAAGAACAGATTCAATCAACCGTCTTCAGCTCGGTCTCTGCCCTCTCTGTCCCTGAATTTGGGAGAGAAAAGTGAACCTGCTTCCAAAAAGCCAATTTCGAGAGCACAACTTACCAAGCCAGAGAGGAAAACCGCACCAAGTGTCACAAAACAAGCAGCAAAACCAAAGTCTTCTGAAATGAAGAGTCCCAAAAATACAGCAAATCCAAGAATCTCCAAAGAATCCCCCTCCGAAAAACCTGAAGATAAGAAAAAAGAAGAGAATGTTGAGATGTCTGAGGCAGTTCTCCTCATGCCTGAAGCTAATTTACTCAATGGGAAAGTCAGTCCAGTCATGTCTGAATGTGAAGCTTCACCAGAACATGCTGCCAAAAGTGAAAAAGGCGATTCAGACAGGTTTTCATTATGCAACACAAGTATTATTTTTTTCCTGATTAAAAATTAAATATAGGGAAGAGGAAGAAAAGCTCAACAGAGAAACTGAAGAATTGAACCAGGAGGAGGCAAGACTTGAAAGAGAAATCAAGGAGCTGCAAACAGAGGTTTGACCATTGTTTTTGCTGCGCTTTGTTAAGTAATAATTTGTCTTTTAACTTTAGTATGATGACATGGAATCTAAACCAGTTGATTCACATTCAAACGAGGATGACGTTGAGATTACCGATTGGTATGAACTTTGTGAAAGAGAAAATCAAAGTGAATCATTGCAAGGTGTGTTTCATTATTGTGGTTACATTATTTATTGATCCATCCATCTTTTAGCTTTAGATGAAGTAAAAGATTTGGCGTCTCACCCTGAGCGAATCATAGACCTTCATCAAAAACTGTCCTCACCTTCAAGACGAAAGATTAATAACGAGAAGACTTTTTTGGAAAAGCAAGAGAGCGCTCATGAAAAAAGGCAGAAGTTCTTAGAGGAGTACAAAAAGAAAATCCACGAGCTTGACAAAAAGGTTCATATTAATTTTTTATAGATTGAACAATTTTAATTACATGCCAATTTTAGATTCAAGAAGTGCAAGTGGCAAAAGAACTCAATAACACGCTGAAAAGGGATAAAATTCAACAAAAATTGAAGCGAGCAGATGAAATTCGCAATAGGTTATTGGAAGAGAAAAAGCGTAAGGCGCATGATGAAGAAGAAAAAGGCAAGGAGATTGCTTTCATAGTATCTTTGGAGGCGCAGAACAAGCGGCACGACTACTTTGTACAAAAACAGGTCAATAATAACATGCCTATTTTACCATTATGAGCCTAATTAAGATACTTTAGGAAGAGGAGGATAGGCTCCAAGGAATACACGAAGAGAGGCAGCGAAGACAGGAGGAGAAAGCGGCCAAGAAGGCTGCTGCGGAGGAAAGAAAGAAAAATTTAGATGCGGAAAGACTGGCCAAAGCCGAGAAAATAATGGAAAAGTGGAGAGTGACAGAGGAGCGGATAGACAGAGAGCAGCAAGAGAAAGAGAAAGAAAGGCTTGAGCAGGCCCGAGAAAAAGCTAGGTATTACATCAGAAAAAAATTTGAAAATTCCCTCACTTAAAAATATCACAGGGATCGCGAGGAACGGCAAAAGGCCAGGGAAGCCACGCAAAGAGCAACTCAAGAAGAATTGAAAATTAAAATTCAGGCCAAGCAAGAGGAGTCTGCGAACAGACGAGAAGAAAATTTGGAGCAGATCAAGCAAAGGGCTCTCGAGTGCTGCTTTTTCCGCACAGATGTTGCGCCACGACTTGCGCCTTACGAAACTCACAAGCTGTGCACTCTTTGCAATGTTTGGGTAGGTCATTCTTTTTTTACCTTTTTATAATGATTACAATTTATATCCTTCATCAGATTGGGTCTGATGTGTATTTGGTGAGTCATCTTAGAGGCCGGCAACACCAACAAGCTGTTAAAATGCAACTCGGTGGCAAAGATGTAAGTCGAGAAGAATTGGAAGTGTTTAGCCTGAAGCACATTGAAGAGGCTCCTGCAAACAGCACAGATACAAAATTGGAGCTGGACAAGGAACGACAGAGGGCGCTCAAGAAGAAATTCAAAAAGATTCGTTTGAGGATGATAGCAAAGTAATCAAATTTGTTAAATGAATCTGCGGAGACTTATTTTTAATAACAAAATAGGGGACAAGAGTTTGAAAGCAGCAGAGTAGCATCAGCAATACCAGACTCACCATCAAAGTCGAGAATCCAGAAATGCCTCAAGGATATTGAGAGACTCTTCAATGCTCAGGGGAAGGGTTTGTGGAGTGACCCTGCCATCACTTCTCTGGAAAGGGCTTTGTCGGAAATCTGCCGAATTTTTGAGAAAAAGGTAAAAATCTTTATATTTAATTTTCAATATCTAATAATTATTATGAAAACAGATTCCTTCCGACAAACTTGTCTTCCTCAATTTGGGAGGCATTAACTTTCTGTCGGACTTACTTGCACTGGCCATGGAGAGCTCAGCAGGATCTCCACTTTTTATTCCAATCAAGTAAAATGCTGAATTTTAATTGCAGAGGGTCATATTTTTAATTGCTCTAATTTAGGTGCTTCATGACACTTTGCAATGCATTTACTCTAGGATGCACAAACTCTGAAAACAACTGCCGCTACGTTGTTCTGAGCAATAAAATCAGTGCCATCATGGACCTTCTTCTTCACAGATTGACCGTACGAAAAAGATGGTTTCCAAAATATTTTTTACTTAAAACCAATTTGCAGAACACCATTCCTCAAAAACCTAGAAGTGGATCTTCTTTGGCTATTTGCACGGACAACTTTGCGGGTAAAACTTATTCCGAACTTTTAAATTTAATTCATCATTTCTGTTTTTCTTTCAAAGGTTCTTTAATGAATCTGCTTGGAATGATCTTGGAGCAAGCTGTGCCGGGAGCAGTGAACCAGAGCGATGATCAGTTTGTTCCGCGCCTGCAAGATGTTGTGAGGTAGGGAGAATTTTTGCTTCTTTGAAGTTTCCTTTCCTGCTCCTTCTTTTGCCAACTTTTAATTTGATTTTGCTAAAAGAATTTAATTTCATTTGGTAAAAGATTTCCCTCTGCTCACTCCGTCGGTATCAGATTGGTTATTTTTGTGAGCCCGTGTGTGTTTCTCTGAGCGCGGAAGGAAATCTTGTTTACTTGGGGCAAACAGCGCAGTCTCAACTTTTAATAGGAAACATGAGGGATCAAATCTTAATTGAAGAGCATGTTACATTTTACATTAAAACCAGAGAAACTTTAGCTTTGGCAAACAGCCAAGTTTCTTTTAAAAGAGGAGAAGCTGCCTTTGCTGGGGAGAAATTCTCCAAGCGTTTAAAATGATTTTTACTGCGCGCTCTTCTTTTTATTTGCTCAGCGCTGTCTTTCTCGCTTTTCAAAATTTTTGTACACAAAGATGATGATTGAGTTCCCGCTCCTGCTGCAAAGAAAAAAAAACTAAATTTATGTATCCAATCTCTGCGATTTCAGATTCAAACGGATTAAATTAAAATCCATCGGGGCGTGACGCAAGACTAATATTTTGTTATATTTTACACACGAAAGCTTTCAGCAGTCTGACTGCTGAATATGTGTGTGCGCGCGTTAATCCGCAGCTGATGCACTCACGCCCGGCCTATTGATGGAAATAAAAGTAGTTTTTCTGCCCCGGCTGGCGATTATGCATTAAAATCCCACAGCGACTCGGGGGCACTGCAGCTTAACTTTGCCAGCCGGCACTTTCACGGGTCGACTCTTCTTGCATGGGAACCTCAGCAGCAGTTCATCTTTTGCAAATCACAGAAGATGCATTCCGACGAAGCCGATACCTGCATTTTTCCTAATTTTTATTCAAAATAATAATTATATAAAAAAAACTGCAGAGGAGTAGGGAAGGAGTGAAGGTGAACACGCAAACTTAATGCGTCTCGGTGATTAATCACAATGAATGTCATGTCTGGCGCTAATTAAAATCAGTGTTTCCGAGAGAGGACGAGCAAACTTTGTCAAAGCTTCTACCTGGCCACAGTAATTAGCATAATTATCCAGTCCGTTATCATAGCAACAAACAACTCAAAGTTTGTGTTCATAACAACATTGTCTCTTTATTTAAATTAATTCATTCTCTTTATGATAACGAAAGGAGAAATCAAAGCCTTTTTTAAAAAAGAATCAACTAGTTTATTGAAAAAAAAATTGTTGCAAAGAGTTCATTTGTATGAGGAATAATTTAATTTTTTTAATTATAAAATTATTTTTTCTCCGCTTATTTCAATGCACAATTTGCTTATATAACATTGTTGTGCGTCAGCCCTTTTTATCAGCGCAAATTTTTTCCGCGCTCAGATTTGTCATTAGCAGTCTGCTCGACATTATTATCAATCGCAGCCGCGGCAAAAAACCGACGGCTTCAAGTCATGCAAGGTGATAATGCGACGCGCCAGACAATCACGCCACACAAAAGTAAATAATGTCGCACGCGGCCTGTATTTTTTCATCCGAGTTATTCAAGGGAGGGACGGAGGAAAATTTATTTTAATCGGAAGTCGGCGCCATTTCGGCTAAAAGCAGCGCGGGAGGAAGTGTGTTTGCTCAAATTGCATGTTCGCATGTTGTCTTTTCTTGCTCACATGTTGACATTGAGTTTACGCTCGCAATTATCTCCAGGAAATTGAATTTTAATCGCTTCATTGCGATTAGGAAATTTCCTGAAATTCCCTTTAGCAATGTAATAAACATTTCTCAGAAAATTCTAAAGAGCGTCCCGATTTAATTTTGTAATTTTAACATTAATTTATTATTATTTTTAAAGCTTAAGCAAATTCAAAATTTTATTCAATTGTGTTCATTATTTGGTTATTTTTTCACTGGAAAACACTAAATCAATTTTATTTTGAAATATAAAGAGAGTAAAAATTTTGAAACAAAACAGCAATTTTTAACTTGGGTAAATTAAAATTAAAATTGCGTGCTTTTTATTTAACATAAGAGTCATAATTTACTGCCAGATAAAATTTATCAGTCCAATTTAATTGTGGCCGTTGTGTGCAGTTAATATCAGTGCACACAAGTCGCACCCCAGTTCGCTTGTTGTCGCAGGATGACCCCAGAGGTCACACAGGGAAGAGGTGGTCGCCGTGCATTAGTCTCCGTGGTTACCTGGCAAAACACGAGTACAGCCCTATTGAATTACGGCGTTACGAAAAAAACAACAACAAACACGGCCAGTTCAAATAATACGAAAAAATTCACTAGCGAGTATGCGTTTATTCAAATAGTAATAATGCGCGAGTGCTGCGATAACAATAACCATTATCTTGATCAGGAATGTTTTGATCGCCGCGTGCATGTTTACTTTTTATTTGGCAACTGAGCTCGTGAGGTTTTGTCATGGAACGCGACACGGTTGGTTTGAGTAGATCAATTTTTAACTATTATTTATTTTTCGGAGCAAACATTTTTAGTTGCAAATGAATGTTTATTGGATCCACACAACATGAACTCGTAAACATGAATAAATTAAATAAACGATAAATTAATTATAAATAATTTCTGTATTCAAAAGTCAACCAATTTTAATTTTTATTATATTTCCTACCAGCGATTTTGCCAATTTATTAGCTTTTGAATTAAAAATTTTAAACTAATTAAATCACAAGTATCCAAGGATTCATTATTTTTTCAGTTTCACTTTCATTTTAAAGATACTACCAAATTATCATTTTTTTTATATTTTCTTCATTTTTTACTCCAAGCATTTGTTTGTAATATTAAACTCGACTTTGTGGTACTTTTCTCTTTATTTACTAATAACTGTTTGTGCAGTGAAAGCGATGATCAAACAATTACTCCGGCCAATCAAGCGCCACATGTGCGCTTGCAATGAATAAATAAGTGCGATGTGCCCGCGGCGCAATTCAACAAGAGGTCTTGATTACAAACGCCGACAAACAACCCTTTTTGCGGCCGGAGTTGCGCATTTGACGCATCCATCCACCCTCGCAGCTGCGATTTTTATTATTGTCGGCTTTATCTTAATTAGGCAATATTTGGCGTCGAGACAAATCAATCATTCCCCAGATACATTTATAACCCTTTAGAAGGCAATCAATCAAACGCGAGCGCGACAGTCAGAGATGAATTATTATTGGCCCGGCAGTTGGCTTTACTTTATGGGTGCGATTCATTTATCTGAATGGTTGAAATTTCCAGGAAGAGCATCCAACCAACAATAAATACAATAAATAAAGCATGTAACAATGTAGGATTTACTTCATATATTTTGCTATAATATCCTTTGAATTGAATATTGACCACAAAAAATAGATGAGACTTTGCAGAATGAAGTGTTTTACGTATAAAAAAGGTGATTCTGAAATGTTCAAGTAACGTTGACCAAAAATAATTTCTTTTTAAGGTTTCATCGTCTCTCATTTTAAAACCATGTTTTGGAAATTTTGCTTTTCCACTTTCTTTAGAAATTTTCAAAAATTTTGGACTTGTGGATTTTTATTGAAACGCCAGCAGGGTGGCAACAGTTTTCAGACAATAATCACGTTAGGCGAGTTCCGGACCGCTGCACCTGCAGCTAACCCCAGAGTCTGCCTGGGAGCTGCTCGCACGGCTCTCCTCCGAGATTGTCAAATCGAGTTAGCCAAAAATGGGGCCCGTGCACAGAAAAGTTAAGCCAAGGTGACTGGCTGGTCGCATAACTCGATTTTGGTTCGCTTTTTCAGCGTAATCGAGTTTGTTCGCGGCCTAATTAAATCTCAATCTCGCCGTTATTATTTTAGCCGCGAGTGTCACCGATTGATAGAGAGAGAAATATGAAGAAAGAGGCACATCATCGCGCGTCGTACAAATAATAATTTGTTTGCCGACTTTGATATGATAACAGGGCTTGATCCGCGGCCAAACAGCCATGTCAATCTTGTGAGCTGCGCGATCCGTCGGCGATAAGCCGACTGATGCACTTGATCCCGCGCCGAGCTGCAAAACACGGCCCATCTGTCGCACCTCCTGTCCATCGATCCGGTTACACATTCAAATTCGATATACCCCCGAGTGTTTGTGTCTCTTGCACAACGCTTCGAGTTTCATTCAGAAACAGTTCGATTGAAATTTATCTTTAATACGGATTTTGTAACAAAAAATCTTGATAAAAATACCAAAACTTTTGTTTTCTTTCTATAATTCTCTCTTTATGTTTCACATAAACTTCTCTTCGTTTTAAGAAATAAATTTTGATAGATATCGTTCCGGAATAGCTTGGTAAATTCTTTATTTTTCCTACTTATTTAATTTAAAATTAATTTAAATTTTATGAAAACTTTATTTGAATACAAAGGAAATATGAAAAGTTGAAATTTTATAATTTCATTATTTGAGATTTATTTCAAATTTAAACAAATTGAAAAGCTAAAAATAACATTATAATAATTATACATTGAATAGAATTTTACTTCAATCGTTTCATAAGTTTTTATTTTAACATTTTATATAATATTAAAAAATTTGAAATTCCATAAAAAAATATTTTTTTAAATTTACTTAATAATTTGAGAATTTATTTTATCCTTTGCATTTTTTAATTTTTGCATCATTTAATTTCTTAAGCACATGCCAATCGTCCAGCATACTCCTCCCTCTTGATCATCCCCTGCTCACCGCACAATCAAAAAGTCAAACAATAATTTGTTTGCCGAAGGACGAGCGGCCTGAGCGGGTTGCAGCCTCGGGCTCTGTAAATAATAGCCAATCGACGAGAGCAAGTGTAATTAACATGGGCCGCAAAGAGGCCGCTCAACTGTTTGCCCAGGCCCATCAATAAGCAATGAAAAAACGAGCCGCCGCCGATAGAGAATCAAATCAATACAAACACATCCCTGCAGCATTCGGCGCCTAGATTAAAATCAAACACTGCAGCTTTGCGGTGTGGGCCGCGGAGGGGGCGGCAGGGCCCCCTGGGAGCCCGTGGCACAACATCGGCAGCCGCCGCGCATAAAGACATTAACGAGGCTGATTGAATTAAACTCAATCCCTCTGCACAAACATCAGCTGACAACTGAATTACTCGTTCGCTCCTCTCCGATCCACATCCCTGCAAAGTGGCGCGGATAAGGGGCCAATTATTATTGGCGCGTGTTTGCTTAGCCGATGGGAAATTATTGCTGCCGCAAGATCGAATAAAAGAGAAGAGCGATGCGTGTTCGCAATCATCGCTTTAATCGTTCCGCAGACGAATTGTTCAAAACTGCATTTTATTAAGGCTAGGCAACCGTTGGGGCTTCCTTGCTCAGCGTGCTGCATACATCGAGCATAATTTATTTAATGAGCCCAAACTTGTGTTCAAATCTCTAAAAGCTTCAAATTTTTACGTAAATACACACAAGTGTTAATTTATTTTCAATGGAATATTATTTTTAACCTTTACTAACATATTTTTTTTCAATTTTGAATTTTATAAATTAATATTTTTAAAACTTTGGTTTTTTTATTCAAAAGTTTTTAAATAATATTGGTACAATTTCCATAAATTATGTAAAGATTAACAGTAATTTTAATCCAACGAATTGACTCGCCTACAGAATGCTGAAAATAATGTGAAAGACAATCTTGAATTCTCAACAGTTCATGCAGGATTCCTTTTTTCTCTCTTCGCCTGCTTTCTTTTGTTTCCGGGCTGAATTTTCCCCTTCGGCTGCACGGCTTTTGCCTCGACTTATTCCCATCTTTGACAGAGAAAAAAAGCGGCGTTTCAGAAACGAATTTCGGTCTCGCCGAGCTTTTCTTTGCGCCGTGATTTTCCCGAAACACGCAAAAATGCTGCCGTCCCCGCCCCCGTGTGTACTCGATGCTTTATTGAGGGGGCTGAACTCTTGGCTCCCTCGTACACTTGCTGATGCATTATTTAAGGGTGTGCCTGCCGTGCCAACCAACCCTCCCTGCTTTTATTTTATCTCGGCGCTTTCGCTCTCTTTCACTGTGCGCGCGCGATCCACCAACATTTTCATTGCTAAGTGAATGCCAAGCACATCATCATCATGCTCTGCTCGCTTTTGATTTTCATTACTTTTTGTGTTGACACTCCTCCTCTCTTTTTTTCAATAATGCGACAGCGCGTTTGTCGGGCTGATGATTCTCTCATTGAGACATTAATAATCAGTGATGCACGCACCACCGGTCGCCGCCGCGTTTATTTGCCAAGAAATCTCGTCGCGCTCCACTGCAACTAACTGCGCCAAAGTGGAAAAGGGGTGCTGCTGGAGCAAATTGTTGCGCACTAATTTTATATAAAAACCGAGTTTAGAGTAATCAATGGTTTAGAATTTAATTAAAATATGTAATTAATTGCTTGACTTTAAATTTCTATATTGGTTTGCTTTAATTGAAAAAGTGCAGTTCCTCGACAGGTTTTGTGAGTAGTTTATTTTTTTTATAGGAATAAAATATAGATATGAAACATTTAACGACACACAAAACTTTTTTTTTTTCAAAATAAAACAACTATCAATCACAAAGAAATTCTCCTACAAATTGCAATTTCTAGGCTATGCTTTGTTAATTCAAGTCAGGACTAGTCTTTATTGATCGTCCATAATTTATTTGCTGGCATTTCCTTTGAAATATTACTGATTTTGTAATTGCTCATAAATTAAAAAAAAAATATATATATATATTAAAAATAGCACCGTTCTTGCCATTTACTTGAGAAAATCGATATAACTTATTCACTGAAACCTGTAGATTTTATTTTTTGAACCTGCTAAGCAAACATGTCAAGAAATAATACATTATACAAATTTTACGATTATTTTTTTATGACGAAAGAGTAAAAATTTCCTCATTCAATTTGAATCTCATCTCCATGAAAATCAAATTAAGGAGCAAACCAAATCAAGCGTCTCTTTCGCTCTTTCATTTTGAAATGAAAACTGCTGAGAATGTCCAAGTTTCATATATAAATTATATTCAGCTTGAGCAAACAGCGCGCGCGAGTAGCTTCCATCTTTGGCCGTGGAAATTAATTCGGAGCGCGAATTGGAGAAATGATAATTAAGCGTGTTTACATAAAAGCGTGTCGGCGGGGAATCATAGAATTTCCAATTAAATTCGACTTTCTCCAGCAGCGCCAGAGAGGCTCCACCACCGGCGTAAATTATTTAACATGCAACTCGGCGCACAGAAACTCTCTCTCATATTATACATCATCATCACATATGAACTTGTGAATAATAAATCAACCCCGTGCGTACATGTGAGTGAGTTTTGAGCTCTCTCTCTCTCTCTCTCTCTCTCTCTCTCTCTCTCTCTCTCTCTCTCTCTCTCTCTCCCTCATCCCTCGGTGCGGATGCATCAGGTTTTACTAATGACGCCAGCGAGTTGGTCGTGCTCTGATGTCAATACCGGCACCACAAAGAATTTTTCATTCGCCCTCGCCATTTTGAGCACGCAAATTATTTTTATTTGTGTGTACGCTGCAAAAATGTTGCTGCTTATCAAAGGACTGTTATCGTTTTTATTTTTCGCTTTGTGAATTTTTTCGCAGTCTGTTTGTCGTTGCGTCGGAAAAGAGAACGCAAAACAAACACGCGCCTTTGCCGAAAACTCCTTGCGAAATTTTGCGCGTATTTGCGGTTGCTTGTTTGTTGTCGGTCGCGCAAGCAAAGCGATATTGGAAAAGGGGAAATTTATTTTTCTGCCTCTGCGAAACGCGCGAGGTTAAAATTTAATGGAATGATAAATAACGCTCGCGTGTTTTATTTGCGCATACGCAAGATAAATAATCGTCGTCCCGCGCCAAACTCATTTTCCGCGCGTCTCTCTGAAAATGCGTGTTCTGGGAATACGCACATTTTTCTATTAACGTTTTTGCCGATTTTCGTTTGTTGGCTTTCAAGATTGGTCTCAGCTTAAACGTGTCTAGACTAGAATATTAATATTTGCCTAAAACTTAAACTAAATCATTTCTAAACTAGAGAATTCTGAAAAATTAACGATGAAAAATTGCCCATATCAAGAGATGAGATAACTGGAAAATAAAATAAAAATATTAAAAAAAACTTCCTCTTCAGCAATATTAAGAAAATCATAAATAAACAAACTCCTGTTCAAGTCACCTGGTATGCTTTGAAAGTCCTAGAATTTGACTCTAGGTGAAATGAATTATTTGTTCTCAATATTTAATTAAAAAATTATTTTCATTAAAATTATAACTAAATAATAAAAGGTTCTCCATTATTTTTAAGATTCTTTTTTACTGTTTGCTAATCAAAATCAATATCTCTGATATTTTATCTCCGCCTTCATAAAGAAAGAAGTTGAGAAAAGTTTTACCCGTTAAAATGTGACTTGCACAAATTGAGAAGTTGCTCGAGCTGATCCGGCGCTTGCATATTCATGACTGATTGATCTCAACATCGTTACCGAAAATTTGCATTTTGCTGTTGCAGCTATGCTGTGTGCATGGGTTTGTTGGAGAAGTTGGCCGCGTGCTGCAGCTCGGTCCGAGATCCGATCGACGACGACCCAAGCAGCGCCGCTTTTCTGCTTTCCACCCTTCGCCTCCTGAGATCTCTGGTCGCTTGGTAAGATTTAGCTTTCCAATTAAAAAAAAATAACTTTTATTCTTTAGATTATGAATGAAGAAATATTAATTTGGAAATAAAAATATAAACAAAATAATTTTTAATTTTTTTTTGTTATAAAATGAAAATATCATAAGTAAGAGGATAATTTTTATTTTTTATTATTTTGCAGTGCCAGGACAGGTGGAAGCGGTGCCATTAGGCAAGACGTGTCCCAATTAGGGGCCACCCTGCGAATAACTGAGTTGATGGGCGGCGTGTCCATGTTGTACGGGATGCTTTTGCACCAGGGGGCGCCGCCTAGGACCGGTTCGGCGCCGCCACCCCCTCTTCCGGCGCACACGGTGTCCGTGGCCGTGGAGACGCTGCGGCTGCTGCAGGAGGTGGCCGAGATGGACCTAAATCTCTTCCAGGTCAGTTTTTATGTTTTTAGTTTCAAGTGAAAAAGTCGAGGCGAAACAAATCAAACAAAGCGGGTTTAATTAAAAGGGCTGGATGGCAAGCAAGCAAGCAACCCTTTCTGTTTGGCTTTCAATATTTGGACTGCGGTAATTGAATGAATTAGCTGCGCCGGCAGAGAAACTCAAGTGGGCTCTCCGCTCGCTTTTAATTATTGTTTCGAGTGCTTAAAAAATCTTTGCGTCTCGGATTTGAAGAATCTGCAAACAGACGCAGAGTTGAGTGTTATTTTTTGCGATCGGCAGGGCGTGCTGGGCGCAGAAGGGATGTCGCTGCAGTTCCGCCACTTGGCCAGCTACCTCCTCTGGGCCTGCAGCAACGTGGAAACGCAGGAGTACGAGGAGTTGCTGCAGGGGGTCATCAGGATCGTTGGATTCTTTGCTGTCAGGAATCATGACAATCAGGTACGTTGATTTAAATAAATGTCTAAAAATCAAGTTCAATTATCAAATATATTTGACATTGTAAAATTTGTCTGCATTTTTAAAAAGAAAAATTCTTTTTTTTTTCAAAATTTTCTTTAAAATTAATTTTTTTTAGCAAACTTTTACACCATTTTGCACAACAAATTTAATAGAAAAACGGCAGCATCAGCATAAAAACATGAATGTGAAAATATTTTTGTAATTAACTTGATATTAATTTAAATACTTATTATATTATTGAAGAAACAAATCCTTATTATTGATCCTTGGATGGTGTATTTTAGTGGCATGTTTGTGCCATTTTATTGGCTCCTGTGTAATTTTGATACGACATCCCATATTGGAGTTCACAAAGCATTTTCATTGGTGGAAAAGCCAAAACGCAAAATGAAAATTAAATTTTAAACCCACGGCCGTCAACACGAATGAACATGCCGCGAGTTTAATTAAACACAAACAGGGCTAGCGTGGAAACAAATTTTTAAATTTCCCAAAGTAATTTGTCGAGCGCCGTGAATAATTTAGCGCATTCTGGTTCACGAATTCGCATTTGTGTGCCAATTGACACACGGCAAATAAAATATTGAAAATTGAATTTGCGAGCGCGCGCGCGGTTGAATGGACGCGCGGAATTAAAACGAATTAATTTGGCAGCAGCGACGAGCAATTTGCTCTTGTGTGCGAGTGGGTATTTGCATTAGGTGGGCGGCATTAGTTTTAATTAGCAAACACGCTCGCAGCCAACCAGCCTGTGTATTGATTAATTAGCTCGACTGCTGCAGCATCCGCTAATTAAATAATGCGCGACCGGCGAAATGTATTTCGCTCTCTCGGAAACAACGTGTCTGTCCGTTATTTAATTATGATTCACACGCGGTCTGCGAGGACAATCATTTTCAGCACGCACTCAGCTCACCTACGATTAATTCGCATTGTTCTACACGCGACAAAAACAATTTCAAAAGCCTGGATTTTTCAACTAGTTATAATGAAATCTTTAAATTTTTCAAAAAGGAATACATATTTGTAGGACAAAGTTTAATTAATATTCTACAGTAGTTTATTCTTCACAAATACAGTCGAAAGTGTAAGAGAAAAAAAGATTCAAACAATCTGTTGCCTTCTTTAAAATTATTTAGAGGGTGTAAATTGAAATTATTGATTAAAATAAAATAATGTAGAATGGGAAAAGAAATTGAATTTGACTTGTTTGGAGAAAAATGAAATGAATTGAATTGAATTTAACTTATTTTCATTTGTTAAATGAAATGTGCCTTAAATATTCCAACCATTGATCTACAGACAAGTATGTTTTAAGATAAAAAAATTTTTGGGGAGAATTTTAAAATAAAATAATATTTTACAGTTAAATATGTTTCACAAATATGCAGTCAAAAAGAGCAAAAAAGAATTAAAACAATCTATAGCCCTTATTTAAATACTATGAGGATACATTATACATTAAAATTTTTAAATTAAAACGTAAAAAATTAGAATTAATAGTTTCAACTTGAATTTTCAACAGTTTTCATTTGTCATAAGTATTTAATGTTCTTTGAACGTTGAAATTTCAATGATTGATCTACAGTCACGTCTACAATCAATATCCATCCATCGGGTGGTCTGTTTGCATTTGGCCATTGCGTCACGCCACAGCCGTAAATTTGTCTCCGACCTTTTTTACGGGGGCCACACACTGATTACTATATAATTAAGATCGGAATTTCTGATACCCACGGAAGGCCCTGCCGCTGGGGACAGGAAATGAACTTATCTAGGAGACTCCATTCATTACTTTAGAACCTTTTTTACTTTAACTAATTATCTCTGAAAGATTCTACAGGTTGCAGGTGATATTTAAGCAGGTGGAAGATGCTGAAAAAAATTTATGCTGACCAATTTTTTTCGCATTTGTTTATAGACGACGATTCAGTCAGGTTTCACTCCGACGGTTCTCCAGCAGTTATGCAACCTGCCTATCCAGTACTTCAGCGAAGAGCGTCTGTCCGCCGTCCTTCTGCCCACCCTGCTTGCCTGCTGCTGGGAAAATGCCGAAACCAGAGCCGTCCTCGAGCAAGAAGTTGGTTTTGAGGTGAATTTTAAAAGAAAAATTCCATCTTTTTCAGAAATTTTACACTTTATGCATTCAGATGTTGCAGAGTTTCAAAGTTTCCGAGGCCGGCCAGAAAGACTCGATTGTCATCTTGCTGGACAGTCTGGACCCCAGCAAAGTCGAGTCGAAAAGCAACAAAACCTAAGCACAAAATGAAATCTATTCTCTTTTACTCTAACACTTAACATGAGATTGCATTCCATACGTTACTTAATTGTTGGCAACTCTGCTGATTACCATAATTAACCAAATTTTTAGGACCACTCAGTTCTAGTTCCTTGAAGACTGATGAGATTATGTTTATTACTTAAAATGCTTTTGAGACTAGCACACTGATTGTTTAGAAATTAGGTTTTTGATTTTATTTCAGTCAATCTCTACTCAAATACTAATTGTGATAAAAGAGATAATTATAGCACTTCAATTAATAAAACTCAATTCGTACCTCTAACATGTTTGAGCTTTAATTCCATCAAACCTATGAAAACTGTGAACACTTCAACTGGGAAAACTTATAAAATGTGCAGAGGTTTCAGAAATTGCACTCTATTCAATTTCTAAAATAGTTAATGGTCTTCAAATCTAAAGGCAGAAAAATAAGAAAAATTGATTGATGATATTAAAAAATTTAATTTTCATAATTTTTTTACTGAAGTTTGGCAACATTTTGAACTATATTGTATTTAAATATGTAAGAAATTTGATTTCTAATTTCTGAAATTAACAACAAATTCTCATCATAAGTTGTCGAGCAGATATTGTGGGGTAGTGGTGCGGACGCGAAAACGATTATTTGCGTCGCACCTTTAATGGAGCTGGGGCAGAGGATCATTACTTACAAGTAACGCACGTCACTGGAGGGTGCGATGCTGCAAATCATCTGGCACGCTTTGTGTGTGTCCATTAGCGGGCGACACCGCATTTGACACTCGTGACAAAAACGCAGGTGGGCATCATCAATAATTTGAGCGTGAAATTCATTATATTTGCATTTTGTCCTGCACCAAAAGCGACGCGAATCTTTTATCAAGAGAGAAACGAGTCTTACAAAAGCACACAAAACACAGAGAGAAAGAGAGTGAGTTGGTCAGCCAACGCTCGAGTGCTTGTCCAACACGGGGGCATCTTTGCGCAAACAGCTTGCTCTTTTCAGCGTGCGGAGAAGAAAGTAGAGTGAATACTTGAGTGACATGCTACTTGGACTAAAAAAAAAACAATGTTTATATTCCAGAATGAAATATTTGTACGAGGAAATTGCTCTTTGGATAGGCGATAGGCTAGATTATTGGAAATAGAAAACAGATATGAAAAAATTATTTGGTCATGTAATAAAATTCAAATTTATTCAGAACAGGAGAGTTGAAGGAAACATTAACAGATAATTTATTTTTCAACACCGCGTCTTATAGTTAATGCAGTGATTACAATTAGTTGAACTTTGATGATTAACTGTCATTTAAATTGATTTAAATAGTTATTCCATTTAAATTTATTTTATAAAAAAAAAAAATCGAAAATATGTTACGACTGTGTTAACAATTGAATTTAGTGAACCAATGAATACACTATGATTGTACAGGCGACAAAAATTTATACTTTAATAAAAGAACTAGAACAAAATTAAATAAATGAATAAAAGCCTATTTTAAATTTTTTATTAAAATTGTAGAATAAGTAATAATTATTAATATTTAATAAAAATTTTATACATTTTAAAACAAATATAAATAATAAATTAATTTTATTTTTTAAATAATTTACTTTAACAATTATTTTCTTTAAAAAATTTTAACTTTAACTGTCTTTTTTTTAAACTTACAATTTTTATAAAATTTTTTCAATCTAGTGGTAACACTCGAGGTGGATTCCATGAAATAACTGAATCCGAGCGAACCTTGTTGCAAGGAATTTTTTTTCAATATTCCGCTTATTTCATAACTTACAATCTTATAATTTTATATATGAAGATGATAAAGAAAATCTCCGAGGGTCCATCATAACATAAGCTCAAGAAAATATGCGCATATAATTTTCTTTTTTGCAAGACGAACAAACAAGGCTGAGGGCCGATGGATTGTGCGACGCTCGGCGCGATCATCGCATAAACATGAGGCGCTCGTAATAAAATTTTATTCGTGTTTTAATCTTGAGGGTGGTCGTGCAGGGGCGCACAGTGCATTAGCCAGATTAAATGTTTGCCTGCACCCTCGGCCGTCCGAGAACTGCGCTGGGGTTCGGAAACGAGCGCGCAGACGGACTGCTTTCCTTCGCCTGCATATTTGGCCGTTTGCATTTCTGCCTGTCGCCGCTGATTACTCGCATGACGGCGAATTTCGCGCCCGGATTACATTGGAATTATTTTATTCTCTCCTCCCCCGCGCGTCAGATTAAATCTGGGTATTCATGAAGTAATAATTTTATTGTTCCGAAAGAAAGAGACGGTCGTGCGTGCAATAAAATGGTCCTTTTGCGGACGAGGAGAGGGGGTGTTGGCCTCTAAACCGATGACTTATTGTTACACACACGTGTGACAAAGCCCCTGTCAGCAAATGTAAATGAACAATAAATATTATTTTTATTCTAATGAAAAACTGCCTTTTTCTCCAATAAACGTCAAAACTTATTTTTTGAATTTGCGTCACAGCGAAACATGTCATATGGAGCAATTCATTTTTTTTTTGTCATATCCCTCCCCCCAACGACCCGCCCGCTCGGGTTAATCAGAAAAGTGAAAACAACCCCCACTCGTATGTACTATTATGATTACACTTCACGGACTCAAAGAGCTAGTCGAGCGTGAACGGCAAGATTGGAAAATCTGTCCCCTGCTTTTTAATTTTCGTCTCCTTTCGAACTCTCTAATTCGATTTGTTCCTTGCCTTTTAATCTGCCGTTTAACCCTTCCGCGATCTTTCGGAGAAAAGAGCAGAGAGGCGCAATTAAGTAAGCGCAGACCTAATGTGGGGCCTGTCCAGCCTCATTACTACTGACACCCTCTCGTCTTGTGACAGACGCCACCCTCTTGTCGTTGACACTCATCCACGGCTAGACGCACTATTATTTATTTTTTGTCCCCCCAGCAATTTTTGTTTGTTTGCCTTCTTGTGTTTGCAAATCAATTGCAAAAATTCATTTCATTATGTCAAAATAAATAATAAAAAATATATGGATTATTTATTCTCATATAAAATATACTGAATTTACAAAGAATTAACAAAACAATGTTTTGGCACTGCCAAATTTTTCAAAATAAAAAGAGAGGCCTAAAAAAAGAATTAAAATTTGTTATTTTATTTCAATTATTTTCTTCAGAATTATGATTATGTGATTTTTAAATGCATTTTATGCTTTTGAATCCTTTTGAGTAAAAATTCCTCTCACTTTTATTGCAATTTTTGTGTTTGTAATTTTTTTAAATCTATTACTTAATCTATCTGGATGTGAGATTTGAAATACTTTGCATGAGATTGCGATTTATTTTTAAAAAATTGTGATTTTTTCACCATTTTACAACAAATTTTTGAACCAGAACTCCTTTTTTTCATTGTTCCTAAAAAAAGGATTATTTTACTGTTCACAGGAGAATCTCTTAGGAAATATTGAGTAATATACAAATCCATTTTAAGGGTGGTCTCTGAGAGTGAGAGTAAAATCTAATTCCGACGCGGAGCTTTGTCGGCTCAAAAGAGAGGAAAAGTGAAGCGCAAAGTGCATTTTGAGTGCACCCATAAAGGAGTATTGCTCGCTATCAGAAACTTCTCAAGCATTCCTGCACGAGACACTTTTATTGAAATGAATAAAACGCACGCGGCTCGAATATGATTTCGAAAAAAAACTCACATCCCTTTCGAACCCCCCAAAAGCACCTCTATCCTATCTTACAAAAAGGCAATAAATATCCAGAGCTGTGGTCTATCACTTAATTGCCCGAGAGAGAAAAACACCAACAAAGTATATAAAGGGTTAGAGCTTCTTAGGTGGTGTCTTGTTAATGGTTTTCTATTACCACATCATAATGCAGAACGCACAAAAGGCCATTTATGGGTTGACAGACAGATTTTTATGGCGCTGCCTTTTAGCCAATTCCGAGGTGTTATCTCTTTCTGGCTCGCTCGCTCGTTCGCTCGGCTCTCCGCCGTTTTATCTTGGCCGAGAGAGTCTGCTTTAGAGCACCACAGATGGAAAATGTACGCAGCAATAATTTTCCCCTATGGTTATGACAGATAAAATAATGCCGAAAAAGCACAAGCTTTTTCCTCTAAGCTTTTTTTATTTCAGCCGCGAATCTTTTTGTTTCTCGCGCATCCAGCCGGCTCATATGAAAGGTAGGGAAAATATTTTTTATAAGAACATAATCAACATGCAAAATGGTAAAAAAAAACACACAAGTCCGGATCGGGTATGATGAAATTTTATATTGTTAAATTTGAACTTAAATCAGAAATTTTTATTTTCTACAATAAATATTAAGCATTTTTCAACTGTTATAATTAATCCAATGACTCCTTTTTATATTATTATAGAAATTAGTTTTGCAAACACGCTTTAAAAATGTAGAATTAACTATATATGGAGCTACAGGCTGATTGCAAAAACATAGATGAATAATAAAATTTATATATTATGAAATTGTTGGAATTTTTCAAGATGAATTAGCGATTTTATTCGTTTCACTTCTTGTTCTGTCCACATTCCAATCCGAATTGACAGTGTGTGTCTGTGGATTTGCGAGATCTCCCTTTAAACGGCCGGGGATCAAATTTATCCTTTTTATAGAGCGCTCGTTTGCAATATAGGGCCGCGCGCGCGTGTGTATTTGCGAGAGAGGCACACATGTCAGCCGTGCACTGAAATACTCCCCGATGCTTTTAAACCGATTGGAATAAATAAAATTTATTGTTATAGATTTGCAACATGGATACGAGGTCATTTGAGCGCGACACGAAACGACCCTGAAGACAAATGTACGCATATAAGCGGCAGACGAGACTCGTCGCAAAAAGGTCGTAAAAGCAGCCGCGATTCGCCTAAAACAAAAAGAAAGAAGAGACTCGAAAATAAAAAAGATGCAAAAGAAACAACCATATTTTGCACGTGGCTCGCATTTCTCATTCTTATTAGAGAATATCTAATAATATTTAAATGTGAAAATCATTAGAGATATTAATCATTTAAAATTTGATAAAAATTCCCCCCTGACAGTTAATGCAACTAATAAAAATTTATCCAATTCTCACATAATAGTGTTAATAATTTTTGTTTTAAAAATTAATAAAATCAATTCATGCATGAATTTTTTTATGATTATAAGTATATATGAAGAAAATTAAATTATTTCAAATGTTAAAATTTAAATATAATTAAAAAAGTAAATTGAAAGGTAAATATTTTAATTGCTTAAAAAGTCAAATTAATAGCGTAATTTATGAAATTTTTCTTATTTTA